CGCAGCAGTGTCCTTTTACATCACTGTGTCTACAGGTAGACACTGAGGACGACTGTCTACAGTGAGCCTAAAGGGACAAAATAGCATGAGATTAATCACAATTAAAAAATGTGATGCATTAATTTCAGACCTAAAATAATTGCGATCAACTACTTACTACTTAATGTTCACAGGCCAACTAGATAGATAGATAGAAATCCAAAAACACAACTCTACATGAGAATTTTATTCATAGAAAGTTGCATAAAAAGGATTTCACTCATTCATTCCTCTTCCACCTGTCAGACTTGTGCTCTCTGTTCTCTTGTGAGAGTCGGTATCTACAGCTGTTCCACGACAAACAAACCTGGTCTTCAGCACAAAAGTACTGCAGAAAAAACTGCGTTGACCTGGCCACGATATACGACATGGACGAGATGCAAACCGCTCTTAGAGATATGGAGGGATCGTACCATGACGCTTGGATAGGACTTCAGACAGGGACTCGTCGGAGATGGCACTGGTCTCTGTCACAGAAAGATTTCTACAAGGAGGGCGAAAGGAACTACCGGGTTTGGGGAGTTAAAAGAGGCGACTACAGTTGTGGTGCTTATGCAAAAGGGAAATTTGAGAAGACTGTATGTTCAGCTCAGTTTTATGCCGTTTGCTTTGCTGGTGAGATTCAGTTAAAAAATTACAAACTTCAGCTAATGTAGAAAACAATTAAAACTTTGATTGATTGGCTCACTTTCTCTTTTAGGAAAAAAACGAGATCGTGAACAGTACGTTGTCACCTCCAAAAAAATGAATTGGACGTCTGCTCAAGAGCACTGCCGGACTCAGCACACAGACCTGGCCAGCGTGAGGAACGAGAAAGAAAGCCAGACAATTAGGGAAGTGGTTGGTAACGAGCATGTGTGGGTCGGCCTCTTCAGAGACCCTTGGGAGTGGTCTGATGGGAGTGACTCCTCCTTTAGATTTTGGAAAGCTGGAGATGGAATATACGCAAGGTCAAAGAACAAAAAGTGCATTTCTTTGAAAGAAAGTGAATCTGGTCGATGGAGACGGGCGCCATGTGATGAAAAATACAAGTTCATCTGTACCTGTGAGAAAAGTACGGCACTTCCATTCTTTCTTCTTACAATTCATAACTAGATTTGTACCGTGGTGTGCCGTTTAGGTCATATCGATGCTCTCCAAACACTATTTAGATTAGTGAATCATTATTTGTTGACGTGTGGGGTCTCTCACATTTTTCAACATCTGTCAAGATTTTTTAAATGAATGTTGTGTTTAAATTATGGATAGGAGATTGTTCGCTCTAAATAACTTCAAAGGCAGGGTTGGTAATTTTCCAACCAGAGTTGGATTTTGAAAGTAGCATTCCTTCAGTGCTCCTTCTACACCCACCCCCTCCCCTCTGTGCTCCCTCTAAAGCCACGCCCCCTCACTTACATGCACGAGCGCCGTTGGTCCAGAAGTGGACCTCAGTTCATCTCTTGCATTGTGTAGAAACTACGTCGTCTCATGTCTCATTCAGCGGTAAGTAAACTCACAGTATAAACTCCATCATCAGTGATGCGCTTTGAGTGTGGACTAGTGAACACAAGGAGTAGAGAGCGAGCAGGGAGACAGGGAGGCGTGTGATTGGTTCATCAGATTGGTACCTCGTGGCAGACATTGGTCGAAGTTTTTACAGGCTTAAAACTGCTACAGATGACGGATTTTATTTGTTCCTTTTTTCAGGGCACAAGTTATTAATGTCCGTCAGTACCTAAAGACAATTTCAACCAAAACTGTCTGGAGAAAATTCCCAACCCTGCCTTTAATTGACTGTTCATGTGTATGTTTCTCTCTTTGGTATCAGATTCTGTGAGGCAGACTATTAAAGTGAGGATCAGCACCAAAGACTCAGGCTTGGATCTCAATGACCCTGCAATAAAAGAAAACCTCCTGAAACAGGTGATTTTTAACACAAATTCATACAAGAGGGGGGCCGGGGGGGTCTCCTGAGGTAAGACGGGCCTAAAAAAAAACAAAGCAGAAGTGGCGGAAGAAGCAACAGACGCTATAATGAGAATATTTGCCTTTATATCAATGTGTAGTCTAACAGAATGACAACATCAACAAATGAGCGGAGAACAACATACTGGCGAACAGAAAACAATGCAGCCATTTAATTGCGTGCACAGAGATCTATGCACCGTGCAGCAGTAACAGTATAACATCACTCCCCCTCCCATTAGCTCGAGGTGAATTCTCCGGATAATTTCCTGCCGCGTTCTCACATCAGCTCACTCAGACTTGCTGCGTCGAAAATACTAGGGGTCTGGCAGGAGAACCTCCAGATGAAGTCCAAGTGAAAAATTCTTACCTTAAGGAGTAACTAAGTTTGCGTTCACTAATACAGCCTCTCCGGGAAACATCCTGAGTTTATCAGGAGATTTCTGCGAGTGTGAAGGCCATATACTGTATGACTGGCAGGCTCTCCCAAACTTGTGACTTGATTGTCATTTCTTTTGTTCTGTTTTTGCAGATTGAGCAGCAGATGAGGGGGACCAATGTGACCAGGATACAATGGAGAACCAACCCTGATGGAAGAGTTTTTGTCAAGGAACCAGAGAAGAAACAGAGAAGCGGTGTAAATGATGAACTCTGAGATTGAAAAAATGAAAATACTCAACTGAGTGTCAAGTCAGCAAAGTTCACACTGGCAAACCCACAAAATCAATTTACAGCTAGGCTACTAAGGTTTTGTGAATTAACTTTATTTTTACATACGACATACAGTACTGCTTCCTACATACTTAAAATATCTATACTGCATACCCTAACCCTAACCCGACCAGTAGTATGCCGTTAGCAACATACTAAAATACAGGTCACGCAGCGTACTTCTGTTCCGAACTCCGTTGGATAAGCTAGCATCAAGCTAGTACAACCATCAGTCTGTAAATATAATTGAACAATATACATCCATTGATTACAAAAGCTACTACATAGTCATTTTATTATTCTTTCACAACATATAAAACGTAGAACCCCACGATGCACCAATGCCATTCCTGCCTGTGGCCATCAGACTTTATAACGCCTCCTTTTGAGAGTCAGACACTTAGACACTGGACTAATTGGAATTGTTTATTTAACCTTGAAACTGTGCAATCTGTCAGCAAAACTGTAAACTTTTTTCCATATTGAGTGTTATCAATACACCATGCAATATCTGTTTAACACAACTCATTGTGTATATTCATAATGTTGAATATTGTTTTCATCTTTAAGTCACTGCGCTTTGTAAATGGCTTGTTATCTTGTCTTACTTGGTATTTATTCCTTATTTTATGATCTTATTCTATTTTATTTTTTACATCTTAAATTATTTCTAAACTTCCTACTTCTGTATTGTGTTAAAAAGCAACGGTAACAACCGAATTTCCCCCGGGATTAATAAAGCAATTCTGATTCTGATGAAAATGTGCGTATTTGGACAAAGTCAGAGGCGTTGCTTGTCGACAGGCAACTGATTGGGGCCACAGGCAAGTAGGGGCCCCCCAAGGGCTGATCGATTTAATACCACAGCTGTGGCTCAAAATGTGCAACATTTTCATGACAGTAGGAAACCTCCCTAAAGGGGCCCCATCTTACAGTACTCACTCATTATAAATGTAAATCACTTAATGATGCTGGTCAAGCCCTCAATATGGACAAGAGACACTTTAATGCACAACTTCCGCCAAAAAAAACTGTTGGTGGCAGATTTTTAATATAATGCTGTTTGGAGGGGCCCCCCTTTTTCCTGCCTTGGGCCCCAAAAGACTCCAAAATATCGATACTGGACGTCCTCCATAATCCTGGTTGGCCTGGTTTCAAATCCGACCTGTGGCTCCTCTTGCACTGATTTTTGAGTCTATCCACTCTACTATCTTTAAAGTAAAGGCATAAAAAGCTAAAAAAAAACAAGGAGCTTATAAAACCGTCAAACGATGTTACAAGTGTCTGTTTACTGACCATTTCTATTTTTAAGACTTGTAATTTGCTTCTTTTTTTTTTTTTTAAAGAAAAAATGGCTCTTTGGTACGATGGAGGATTAGGGCCATGTTAAAATGTTTTTTTTTTTTTTAATTTCGAGATTAAACTCGTAAATTTACGAGTTCGAGACCAGCCTGCGCGAAACTGATGAAAGTAGAACTCTTAAAATCTTTAAAGAATAAAGTTGTTATTTTAGTCTATATCAGAAGAGCAGCAGCATCCTATTCTCAAATGACAAACATGGAGCATCTTGTCCTAAAGGTTTCACCAATAAGGAAATAGGTTACTTCCTTGTGTAGTCGGTAAAAACAGTTCAAGAGAAGTTTTCACTTCAACTTGCAAGACCTTGTTTATCTGTAAAATGATGAACAGGACACAAACTGTCTCTGCACATGAGACTCTTTAACAAGGCAGACCGATAACAGACACAAATAGTTGTGTTGGGGCTTTACTTATGCAGATATGAAACTACACATGCTTTTGTCACATCATCAGCTTCACATTGTCATAAAATATCAGCACCCTGAAAAGATACTGAAAGAAACTGAAGACAGAACCACACTGACTGGGAGGAAGTCTGCAGAGGAAAATACTTTAAGAGTTCTACTTTCATCATTTTGCGCAGGCTGGTCTCGAACTCGGAAATTTACGACTTTATTCTCGTAAATTAAAAAAAAAAAAAAAAATTAACATGGCCCGAATCCTCCGTTTTTAAATCTCGATTTAAATACGTAAGGAGTGAACTTTCTAGACTAGAGTGGAACTGTTTATTCGAGAGAAATAATAGGGGTGGTTTCTTTTGTTGAATAAGTTTATTTTAAGGTTTTTTTGTCAGTTATGTGATGGTACACGAACAATGTTTTAAAAACTATACATGTCATTTTTCTGACGAATAAATAAAACATTGCTGCAGTCAAATATGACTCATACTTTCTTTTGCCTGTTACCTTCCTCCCCCCGCCGCTCCGCGCGCAGTGGTACAGTCCACATGACAGCTCGATGCTCGCTAGCCTTCATGCCCAAGCAGCAGCAGACCGCTACAGCCACTGAAAGCCCGGATTAACTCACGAACTTCACGTTTTTCCAAGTGTCTTTATCACCTCATCTCAAGCTCTCGATGTCCAGCATGTCTGCTCCAAAGAAGGGAGACTTGTCTTCCAGCGAAAAAGAATTGTTTGAGGTTATTACTGCAGGTAAGCCTCTTCGGCTAACGCTAATCCGTCCTGAAATCATACGAGGGTTAGCATCAGTTAGCATTCATGGGCTACATGACCAAATAAAAGCACAACAACACCTTTTCTAACACCTGATTTACTTTATTTATCATATCAATTAATTTGAATATCAGTTTGCATTCTTTGCTCTGTGGTAGCTAATCTATCTGAGTTAATAATGTGCACATTTGTATCTTACTGTGTCAACACCAGTAAGCTCAACATGATGGAAAACACCCTGAAAGCATGTGTCTGTGTCATTGCCTGCACTGTAACTGTGTGTCACGCTGACATTATAGCAGGTAGATTAAACACTGCATGCACTGCTGGTGAATCTTGGTGATGTATTCATGTGATAAACATTTGATTTTTCTGCTCTTAGGAAATGTCCAAGAGGCTTCTAGGCTGCTGGGCTGTAAGGATGTTCGAGTTAACTGTCTGGATGAGGTAACAGGGGCTCCATGTTTATGTCATGATTACCTGTAAGGAGTAACTTAACCCCCAGACCCGTTTTGTTCCAGCTGTAAAAAAACCCATCTGTATGTGGGTTTAAAGTTAAATAAAAGGATGACACTTAAGAGTCTAGGGTTGTCACGATATCACATTTGAAGGATAAGATAATCCTTAATTGATTACAAGAGGGGAAATTCAAGTGTTGCAGCAGTAAACAGAACATGCATTTGAGTGCAAATAAAATAAGAATAAATACAAAAATACAATGCATTAACAACTATTAACCAGGAAGTTTAAAAGAAACTATACGCGGGGCGCTGGTGGCGCAGTGGTTAGTGTGTGCGCCCCATGTGTGGAAGCTGTAGTCTTCCAAGCGGGCGGTTCAAATCCGACCTGTGGCTCCTTTCCTGCATGTCATTCCCCTCTCTCTCTCTCTCTCTCTCTCTCTCTCTGATTTCAAACTCTATCCACCGTCCTGTCACTCAAATAAATGCACTAAAAAGCCCAAAAATAATAAACTATAAACCAGTGTTGCAGTTCTTGAAATCTTTCTTTTGTTTTAAAGGTCTCCCCTCAGAATCTAAAGCATTTTCACTCAGTCTGGTCTTGCTCTCAGACTGGACAGCGGACTCCGGTTTTAAATGAAGACCAGTCAAGCCCACCACGGATAGATTATGTTTTCCACGTCATCACTGAGATTAGAAGGGAAACATCACTTTCTAAAATAATAAATAACTTCGATTCATTCATAATTTGATTTTTATCCACCGGTTACGGCCGCAAACTTCCCAGTGTCACGGTCTGAGTGAGTGACCCGCCCCCTGCACACAAGATGATGATTTTTCGGAGACATTTATGGTCTTGGACTTGTTCCGGTCTCGAAGCACTCTGGTCTCGGTTAGTGTGGTCTTGACTACAACACTGCTATACGCTCATTAATTGCTAAACAAACCAAAAAAAAAGATAGACAGGACATTTCGGACATGCTGTGCATTAAGTGTCATGTTAAAGTTGAAGTGACCAGTTGTGAGATAAAGTCACAAAGTTAGAGATAAGGTGATGCGGAAGTTTTTTGTACCTAGCATGTAAAGTTTAAATTTTTTGTAGGACAAATTGTGCCGAGACCATTAAGCGAAGCCACTACTTCCTTTGTTTGGTGGCATATGTGTTGGACAAGAGGACTCAGGAGTCCCTCTAGAGAAGGACTTTGATGTCTTTGTTTTCATCTGTCGCTGTTTATTGTCTGCCTGTCAGAATCAGCTGTTTGGAACGGATGTCACGTCCAGAACTTCCACCTGATAAGTGTGGTGTACAACAGAATAAAACCCTTTAAAACACAACAACAAACAAACATAAGTACATTGTTATGAACCGTCAAAACAGAGTGTTTTATTCTGAAAAGAAACCGGATGTTTTAATGTTGTTTCGGTTTCTGACTTCCCGTCCCGCTCAATCTTCTCTGTGGTAAATTGACGCGCCGTGTGCCGTGAAAAATAGAAGCCTTGCGTATCTGCTGCAGAGGACTCCAGCAGCACAGTGCAGCAGAGCCAGTGGAAGCACACACACACACACACACACACACACACACACACACACACACACACACACACACACACACACACACACACACACACACACACACACACACACACACACACACACACACACACACACACACACACACACACACACACACACACACACACACACACACTCTCACTCACTGAATAAAGTAACAGAGCGGAGACGGACCAAATATGCATCTGGGGGAATTTAGTCTTCGTATCAAAGCAGTGTGAACTTTTTGAACGTATGTAATAGTGAAGCTGTCGATGTTAGTATCGCAGTATTAGTGAGCTTTTTTTTTTTCTCGTCTCGTCCACAGTACGGGATGACCCCTCTCATGCACGCTGCTTACAAAGGAAAAGCCGACATGTGCAAGCTGCTGCTGCAACACGGAGCCGACGTGAACTGCAACCAACACGAGCATGGATACACAGCGCTGATGTTTGCCGGCCTGTCAGGTATGCAGCTAAAAATATTTTTTTTAAATGTGAGTGTTTATCTCCACAGCAGTGCGACTACAAACTCCTTTTTTGCTGTTGTGCTTGTAGGTAAGACTGATATCACGTGGATGATGTTGGACGCCGGCGCTGAAACGGACGTGGTCAACTCTGTCGGAAGGACGGCAGCACAGATGGCCGCCTTTGTTGGTACGTCTGGATGTGACGTCCAGTGTGCTTGAGTCTTATATATATCATCTTAAACGCAGAGACAAGGAATCTCACACACACAACCCCCCCCCCCACCCCACCCCCTCCTTTGTCAGTCGAGAATGTTTACCCTCTGTTTTTGTTCCTTAACAAAATACACACTTTTACTGTGACTTATATCACGATATGGAGGTTACAATTTGCAACTTTGAAGAAAACATTGTAAAGATAAATCTACACAGAGCAGGATAAGTGTATTGTAAAGTATTTAGGAGGAAAGAGAGAAAGAAGGAAGACATAAATCAAAGGTAGAGTTCAGTGTGTAAACACAACATTTAAATTAGGCTCCTCCTCACAGCAGTAACGAGAACACACCCACCAGGAGCATCGCGTTTCTATGCACGACCTGAAACATGAAGTTATTTTCATTGGTTGATAGCAGGACGTAGAACACTGCTAGCTACCTGAGAATATTACATCTGCTGTAATGGAAAAGCCGATGATTCAGCAAACTAGCACAAGCTAACCGCTGCTGTTTGGCAAACAGGAAGACTGTTTAGACTTTTTTTTTTTTCAGACTTTAGACTTGATTGTCCCCGAGGGGAAATTCTTTTCCACAGCACCGTTACTGTCCAAACAGCAGGTCCCACCAAAGAACATTCATACACAGAAAACAGAATATAACACAAACAGAGATATTTTTTTTTATTATTATTATTTTTTGCATCCAAACTTTCTCACATAATGAAGGTTTCTCTTCATGTTCAAAAGTTATCCGCCTCCTCTCCTGCCTCCTCAGGGCAGCACGACTGTGTCACCGTGATCAACAACTTCTTCTCCCGAGCCCGACTCGATTACTACACCAGGCCTCAGGGTTTGGAGAAGGAGCCAAAAATGCCAGCTAAACTGGCCGGTCCTCTACACAAGGTCATCATGAGCACCAACCTGAACCCGGTCAAGGTAAGTCACAGCTCGACGCGGTGGATCGCCGTCTAAAAGAGACCACAGGAGAGTTTTTTGTTTTGGAAATATGTGATACGAATTCATCTCAAGAGCGCTCCAGCTCCCTCCAACGATTGGCTGACGTTTCCTCGTACATTTCCAGAGGTCATACTCGTCGCTCCAAACGCAGCAGCAGCAAATGTGACTATTCGTTCATGTAACGAGGGGACAAGCGGTCAGAGAGCTAATCAGCCGCTGGAGTGGACACCAACAGAAGGGCACATGATGAGGGTTTCTTTTGTGCTAAAAATAAACCCGATTTGTGTCTATTCATTTTTGTTTTTTAGATGGTGATGCTGGTGAAGGAGAACCCGCTGCTGGCGGAGCCCGAGGCTCTGGAGAAATGCCGCCGGGTGATGGAGCTCATCTGTGAGAAGTGCATCAAGCAGCAGGACATGAACGAGGTGCTGGCCATGAAGATGCATTACATCAGCTGCGTGCTGGGAAAGTGTGCGTCCTTCCTCAAAGACCGCGAGGACAAGCTGGACGGCCTCATCAAGAGGTGAGAACATGGAGAATATTGGGTAAAGATTGGAGACACACTACGAGTTGCTCTACAGCCAAAGAGCACCACATAAGAAGGCTTATTGAGATTTAATGTAGGTGAAAAAGAAGGACGGGGGGGGGGGGGGGTGATGCCTTTAAAAACAGATGCTGCACAGAAGGAATCCCACGGCATCAAAATGTTTTTGGGTAATTCAAAGAATGCAGGAAGGAGCGCTTAATGGACTCAAAAAAACTATTTGGATTTGAATTCAGGAAGTCAAAGAAAAACAAGAAAACCTTCATAGCACTCAACATTTAAAATGTCTTTATTATCATGGCATCGTCATGTGGACCCTACAAAGACACTTCCACATGTTTGAGCATCAGTCGTCCATCCTGACGACCATGCTGTGAAAAGGGATTCGGGGCGCCGGTAGTCTAGCAGTTAGTGCGCTTGCCCCTTGTACAGAGGCACAACTCAAGAGTGGGTGGCGAGGATTTGAATCTGACCTATGGTTCCTTTTTTCTGCATGTCTTTCCCCTCCCTCTCACTCTGCCAGGATTCTCTATCCTCCTCCTCAAAAATACATCTTTAAAAAACAAAACAATGTATACAATTCTTCAAAAGTTGGTGCCTTGGAGTTTTTGTTTTTTAGGTTAACCTGTAAAGTCAGGTGTAACATCTGTCACACTCTCATATTAATCAGAGAGAGAAACACCGACTGAAGGACGACTCAGGAAGGAGCATGACCTTGAACTTTTCTGTGTGTTGTTTACCTTCCTCCTCTCCTTCTGCTGCTCACACTTGCAAATTTGTCTCTTTAACCAAAAAAAAAAATGCAAAATCACCTTTCATAAACTCCTCTGCTGTCCAGACAGACATCCTGACGCGATCTTAATTTATGGTCCTTTTTGCAAATGAGATGGAAGTGCAGCTTGGCTCATTTCCATCTTCCATACGAGCAGTCGTCATGCTTTATGAAACCATGCAGGAAGGGGTGTCAGTTGAATCTGATTGGTCAGATTTTGCCTTCTGGCAACTCATCGCCCAATTTATCTAAACACATACCATCCATAAAGATCCACGGGACTGGACTGGATGTGTGAAAGTTACACAGGCTGACCTGGAGTCTGAACATTTGTTTGATCAAGATAACAAGTTGTGAATCGTTTTGCATTCCCTTAGAAAAGCGCGTTTTCTTTTCTTGATCTCTCTAGTTTACTGAAGGGTCGGGAGAGCGACGGCTTCCCCGTGTATCAGGAGAAGTTCATCAGAGAGTGCGTCCGCAAGTTTCCGTACTGCGACGCCACCCTGCTGCAGCAGCTGGTGCGGAGTATCGCTCCTGTGGAGATCGTGAGTCTGAAGAAATCAATATTATATCAATTTTGATTTTAAGATAATCTCAGTTTAGATTTGAGTGTTTTGTTGTCTTATCTGTTTTTCTCGTCTTTGTTGCCTGTCGGTCGTTGCAGGGTAACGACCCCACGGCTCTGTCGGTGCTCACACAGGCCATCACAGGTCAGGTCGGCTTCATGGACGCAGAGTTTTGTACGTCCTGCGGAGAGAAGGGAGCCGAGAAGAGGTGCTCCATCTGTAAAATGGTGAGTTCACTCGTTCAAAATGGTCAGAGATTTTTTCTGACTACAAATTTACTACATCTTTGCCTTTTTTAAAACAGTGATATCGGGGAGATAACAGATTCTATACACAGATAAGAATGATACAAGCTACAGCTCCATTATTGTGTTTTTCTGCCACTAGGTGATCTACTGTGGCCAAGCGTGTCAGAAGATGCACTGGTTCACCCACAAGAAGGTTTGCAAGATGCTGCAGGAGCAGAGAGAGGCGCAGGAGGCCGAGTCCGCCAAACTGAGGATGCAGCAGAGCCAGGGTACGTCATCTATCTGAGAGATAAAAAAATGTCTCATGGAAGGCTTTCACACTCCTGAAAAACAGGAGCTGTATGTGTGAATTTCAACAGCCAGAACCCCGGAGTTTCTCCTCCAGCCTCCTCATATTTATTCTAGAGAAAGTCAGATTGAGCTGATATGAGAATGTAATAATAATAATCAGGAGAATTCACCTGGAGCGAGTTGGAGGGGACGTTTATTCCCTGTGATCGCTGCATGGTGCATAGAGTGTCTGCACACGACCGCTGCGATCTCATTGCAAGTAATGAAACGGCTGCATTATGTTTTCTGTTCTCCAGTATGTTCTTCTCCACTCATTATGATCCAAAACCCCACAACATGACTGGTCTTCAACAGAAAGCAGCATGTCACTCAGCTGGCTCCCAGTTACAAATATCAAATTTAAAACTCTGCTGCTCGCTCACAAAACAGCCACAAAGACGTCTCCTCCTTACATGTACTTTATAATCCAGGTCTACACTCCCTCCCGCCCACTACGCTCTGCCAATGAAAGGCGTCTGATCCAACCTTTACAACATGGCTTTAAGTCTGTGGTGGAACAAACTACCTAACTCCATTTGATCTGCAGAGTCCCTTTGCACCTTTAAGACACAGCTCTTTATGAACACCTACACACTTAATGACGATGCTTTGCTGATTAGAGGTCTCAAGAACAGCGGCTGATTTTGGGCTCTGCCTCTGGTCACTTCCTGTCAGCACCTGTGTGTCTGATCAGACTTCAAGCGGTTTTTTGCACTTTTTTTTTTGGAACCTGATGTTTCCTCCTCTCTAGATCCTTGCTTGTGTTGTACTTAGACTCTGATGTTCATCACTTTGGTAGCCCTAACTGTGTCGTCTTTGCGTTTCAGAGGAGAGTAAAGCGGTGCAGGAGGTCTCAGACTCGATGGTGGAGCTCTCAGTCGACTCCAACAGCGAGGTCGCTCCCTCAGACTCTGCAGCAGAAACCCTGAATCCCTCTCCAATCACAGCCGCTGACATCTGAGGATCATCAGAACCGCCTGCTCCAGAAAAAAAACATCCCAAAAACTGTCAGTGAGACCGAAAGCCAGACCAGGACTGGTCCACCGGAGACAAAGACATAATATTTATTACGGACCTGAGACTGTCACACTGGCAGGTTTGTGCCACAGTGATCATCTTTCTCTCGTTTTTTTATATGTCAATTTTTTCACATGTTGCCGTGTGTGAATGTAAAAATAGGCGGATGTGTCGGTGGTAGAGGTCACGTGGAGGATCTGCTGTGTGTAACGTGAAGAGCTAATGGTTCACATCAATGATGGGACGTAATTCTGCCTTAACAAACTGTAGCAACCTTTACAGGGGGGCAGGGGGTGACTGTGCAGCCAATCAAAAGCGTTGTTTGTCTGCATTATAAATTTTATTTGGTCTGGAGGCACGGTGGATGATTGAGATTGGATTGTAAAGGCTGCACAATATTGACCAAAAATGTATATTTTTAAAAATATAAGCAACAGAAACTGAGGTTATTTTTAGCGTGTTGTGTAGTCGGATGTTTATGCTCAGGATTCTTCAAACTGTAACAAAAATCATGTGTCAAACGTTGTCGTTCAGAGCGAAATCAGAGCATCATGCCACTGAGGAAGAGAGCGAGAAACATCTGTGTTCACTTTTATTTTGTATTTATTGTGCGGCCTCAGTGGACAGAGGATCGAGTCGAACACGTCCAGTGAGGCTTCGGTTGTCCAACATGTCAAACTACTTGAGCTCAAAAACTTTAAATAAAGACAGAATCTATCCAAGAGCCCATCATCAGATTGATTTCTTTTGCATTTACTAACACACTTCAAATCGTTAGCATCTGCTCGTCACAGTGATGATGTGAAATGGTTCCAAAGCATCTCAGAAACTTCTCACCCGCGCTTATTGTTGCTATGGAACAAAATTGAACTTCCACTTCTCTCGGTAGTGACCTTTATGTCTGTTTTTAAAAGGTCTGTATGCTTAATATTTGCTTTTTTTGAAAGGTGGCGTCTGTAAAAAATGTTTTATTTGCAGTTTGTAAACACAGCATTCAAACATGGCCCCTCCTCCTGGGCTCATCGCCCGCAGAAGCTCACAGTCACTGCAGGATGTAGTGTGTCCTGCTTGTAGCTACATTTCAAGCTACCACACGCTAGCACAAGCTAACCGCCGGTGTTTGTCACCTGCCTGTCCAACAGGAAGCAGACCAACTCCACGTCCACGGGTAAAAGACAACACAAGGTTCACCCTCGTTTTAGAACGAGCTTTATCCGCTTGGCGTTTCTCCTCACTGTGATTATATTTTCTCTCTGATAGGTCTGCGTCCGTCATATTCGTCGGTCCAAATCGCATCAAATCACTCCTAAGCTCACCTGCTGCGCTGTCATTGGCTGGACGAAACACCAGCTCCCCGCCCAGAAACGTCCCAGGTCAACCAGAACAAAGCAGAAGAGTAAAATCCAGTCAGAGGACAGAATCTCTGCAGACACAGTCACCACCACACATGTATGGAGGCCCAGAAGGGAAGCCGGGGAGTCAGGTTCTAGCATTAGCAGCACATTAGCACTGTTGTTGTCAAAGCTGAAGTCCCGCCCCTTCTTCATTTTGATTGGTTGGTGAGGGAGACGTGAAAATGATGAGCGCAGCCCTGTCCAAAAAGTTGCACTGTTTTCAACTGAGAGTGCAGCGACAACAAACAGCTGAAGCCGCTGTGTGCGTTTTTGCCGGGCGAGGAGCAGACTGGAGAGGTCTGGTAAGCTCAACTCGGTCTAACTAACATTCAGATTTGATCATCTTTAAGCTTCTAGACTTCAGCGTTTAATTTTTTTTTGTATCATTTTATGGAGAGGCCCTTCCCTCAGACATGTAAACAGACATGCATGAAATTAAGTTATGTTTTTTTTTCTCTTTATGGGTGACAGTTTGCAGGATTACTTAGTCTTTCTGCAGCAGGCCACAGACCGGAGGACACTGTGACGCTGCGGCATGTGAATCTGGAACAATCTCCTCCTCTCCTCTGACCTCACCGCTGACAACACAACAGAGAAACATTTTTTTTGAAGTGAAGAAGCTGTCCTAGACTGTGCACAGAGTTTACAGTGTGCAGCGTGGTGAATAAAAAAATAAAAAAAGATTTGTGCTTTCACCTTTCTTGTCTAAAACCTTCACGGAGGGAAGGCAGTGGATCACATGGAGACGATACCCGGGTTCATGAGACATGGGGTTCAAGAAGAAAGCTGCAAAGAGACCATCATCTTCTAACAAAATTCATCAAATCAGACATGCTCTTAGTCTGTTGTGCAATCTCATATCGATTTGGTACAGAAGCCCTCAGCAATTTTTCAAGATCTTGACTTTTTTTTTTAAAGGTCACATATTCTCCTCCTCTTCAACAACTTTAAATAAGTCTCAGAGCTCCTCAAACTTGTGTGTGAAGTTTCTTGTTCTAAATCCACTCTGATCCTGTATTTGATCATGCCTATAAACCCCTCTATTTCAGCCCTGCTCAGAACAGGCTGTTTCTGTGTCTGTACCTTTAAATATGCAAATGAGCTGTGTCTGACCACGCCCCCTCTCTGGAAGGGCTTGGGTGTACTCGGGCTTTCTCGCTCCATGTCCTATTGTTTACAGTGAGAAGGCAGACTCAGAGGGCAGAACAAACACCTAGCTGTGGGAGTGTCACCCACCTGGGGGAGGGTTACTGCCCTTTGTGATGTCATAAAGGGAACATCTCCAAACGGCCTGTTTGCCCACACAGACTGGGGACACATTAGTATTAGAGAAACATGGGGAAGTGTATTTTAAAGAATATGTGACCTTTAATCTGGGGATAACAACGCTGGTTTTTAAGTGATAATTACCAAATTTCAGTCATTTTCTCGAGATCTTGAGAAATTGAGACGTTAGAACAGGAAAACAACCAAAACGTAATCATGGGAGCGCTGCGTAAAAATCTAATTAATGGATGTATTTCTGCTTAGGTCTTCTGTATTTTTTGTTTGTTTCTGGTTCCAGGTTTAAGGCTGGTTCCTCGTCGCTCACTTGCAGTCTGGAGGTTCTGCATCCTCCTGAGCTCGTGCATCGTGTCCTCCAGACCTCTCATCTGGTTGTTGTGGAGAAAAAGAAGTCGCAGGCAGGTCAGATGATTGAGAGCTCCTGTGTGAGACACGGGGAAGGGTCAAATCAAGCTGGATGTCAAAGGCGATTCAAATTCCTTCACGAGAACTAAAAGTAATCATCCCTGAGCGCACACAAGAATCTGGTGCTCTGAAGTCGCTGACAACAGAGGACATCTATCCTCAGATTTAAGACCATCTCTGACCGCTTCAGGTCAGAAAAAAACATTTTACAACCATTTGATAGTTTTAGGGCGTCTAAGAATGGAGGTTAGAGGAGCTATTGTCCAGAAAAAAACTGATGTGTTTCTGTCCATGCAAGAATCTAACCCTGACACAGACACAAAACCATTATCTATCAACACCGCTTTTCCCACTCGGGTTCACGGGGGGGAGGGGGAGCTGCAGTTGATCCCAGCTGTCATTGTACCAGAGGCGGGGTAACACCCTGGACTGTTTGCCTGTCAATCACAGGGCTGACATACAGAGACAGACAACCAGCCACACTCATATTCACACCTATTCAGAGTCAGCAGTTAACCTAACGTGCATGTCTTTGGACTGTGGGAGGAAGCCGGAGTACCCGGAGAGAGAACCCACACATGCACGGGGAGAACATGCAAACTCCATACAGAGAGGCTCCTGTCAGACGGGGATTCAAACCAGGAACCTCCTCACTGTGAGGAAACAGCGTGCTCCAACGTGCAGCTCCAAAACCATTATTATTATGATGGGAAATGTAATGATTCACCTGATATCGACTTGATGTTGTTGTTGTGTAGATAAAGTTCAGTCAAGCAGCAGTTAACAGATCGACAGCTGAGCTCCCTGATCTGAAAGATTACCACCAAAATAAAAATATATACCAATCTGGAGGTCGTTCACTCCATTTATAATCACTCTGTTGCTGAAGTTTGCAAAGTAGAACCGAAGCTTTACCTTGTTGTTATTCAGCCACAGCTCGCGCAGGAAGGGAAACCGTGACAAGTCAGGGACGCTGGTGAGTTTTCTGTTTGGAGTAACGGTACAAAATATTTGTCTGTGTAACATTGTAGCTCCATGAACTTAAACTTTTCTCAGGGAGCTGCAGTGTTTGCCGGCGTCTTACTTCTTAGCAAGGATGAATCGGCAAACATCAACATCTCTTCTTACTCCACACCTCTGCAGAGAGTCCTGGATGTCCTGGAGTTAGGAAAGAAGAGAAGAAAAGATTCAGTAGCTGAAGTGTAAAAACAGTTGTATTTGTTTTTTCAGGGGGTTTAAAAGTGTCAGTGATTTTGGTTAAGCTGTGTACCTTGTCCGTATCCATTGTCTGATACTTTCAGGTCAGTCAGGCCTGTTGCCGGGAAACTGCTGCTTGAAATCACAACAAACAAATAATTCTGTGTTTCAGTTTTAAGTGATGTTTAAAAAAAAATATTGTGAATTCATTGATGGTGATAGATTTGGATTACTTCTCAGTTTAATTTGATGGAGATGAGTTAAATATCTCCTGTGAGGATGAGAGCAGTCCGCCAGCAGAGGGCAGTGTTTCACACGTTTTGAAAAGCCAACACAGTCAGTTTAGTTCTCAGCTTTCTGCACATTATGGCTCCTGGTATTCTGCAATTCAAACTTATCTTCTGTGGTCTAACAGCTGACTTCACTGGTACATATCTGTAAATAGGAGAGGTTTCTGTTTCTGTTGAGAAGACAGGACCGTGCGCTGGGACTGACTGGCAAAACAGTTCAGGGTGTGTCGCCCTCGCCCAATGGCAGCTGGGATCGGCTCCAGCCCCCCATGACAGTATAGAGAATGGATGAGTGGAGACAGGATTTGTGGATAGAGTCAGAAACAGGGATGAGAGGGGGGATGACATGCTGTGGATGTGGCTCAGTGTCACAGTCGGTCATCTCTTAACCGGAAGGTCTCAGGTCGGGGGTTCGATCCCCCAGCTCCTGTGGCCACACGTCCAAAGTGACCTTGGGCAAGACACTTAAGTTAACTAAGTCGCAGCTTCATCGGCAGCATGTGAATACGCATGAATGGATTAGTTATTACTGGGTCACTTTACATGGCAGCCTCTGCATTTTGATCTCTGTCTTGGCGCTTTGCATTGTGGGAAACAGGACGCAAAGAGACTGGTCTCATGCATACTGTACATTTTTCCAGAATCGGCATGACATCCAGGTAATTTTGGCATGCTGCACGTCTCGCATTTGTGTGCATACTTCAAACTGCACCTTGGAGAAATAAGTACGTACTGCTTGTGTTGATGCCACCGCAGTTATGGCGGCCACGGCAAGATGGCAGCGACCACAAACCGCTCTGCAGAGTCGTCTATAGAATCTTTACATGGAACCACAAGCTGCCAGAATAAAGATTTGATTGTCACTGTGATGTTTCTGTAGTTATGTTTAAATATGCACAAGCATCACGGCCGTCTGGAAAGCGTTGTTTTAAAACTATTCAAGTAGTAAACGTAGCGGTGATAATTATAAAAGGATCTTTCTCAGGGAAGTACACAAGGCTAAAACCTCCATCCATCCATCCATCGTCTTCTGGGATCTTTTCCAAACTCTGCCGCCTCGTTGACCTCTCTTCCTCTGCTTTGTTTCAGGTGTTGTGCATTCCTTTTGTCCCCCCCCTCCGGTCGCCCTCGCCACACCTCCCATTACTTGCATGTGGGCGCTTCCTGATCACGCACACACTCCCTCCATGCGGCTTGTCAATACGCCATTAACCCGGCCACCTTTCACTTCCCATGAGGGTTATGAGCGAGTGACATCCTGCCGAGTTTCACCGCCGCTCTCTGTGAGAGCACAATGCCGCGGGCCTATCATTTTCACTGTTCTGCATTCATTCCCATGAGGAGCTCACAGGGGCGTTGAAGTGTAAACAGTCCTCTGAATAGATCGACTCATGTTGTCCTTCAGTTCCTCTCGGAAGTGGTGGGAATGATGCTTTGGTGGGAAACGACAAAAGAGCGAGGAAACAACAGATTTGAGTATTAATGTTATGATAGACTGGGTTCACTGAAGAGAGTAACTCTGAGTGAAGACGTTACATTTTTAACAAATTTAGTTTTTAAGGTTGTGGTACTGGAATATTTCTGCACTTATTAAAGGTTTATAATTTGTATTTTTTTTTGTGTTTACATTTTTTTTTAATGTCCCTCAATCAAACAACAATTCCAAAGTCACAACAAGGCAGGTTAATATGACACGATACATCCATCCTTGGTGTAGCACCATTACCACAGCTCTTATTGAACTACGTCTTTTGTTTGTTTATTATGGTATTTTGGGTATTTAACCTTACAACCTTTGAATAAAAATGTATGTTTCACGTAATTTTGTCAGGCCTTAAGAGTCTTGACAGTACTAAGCGATATGTTATGACAGAATTTAAACCAAACCTGTCCTTTTTTTGGGAGGTTCAAATCTAACTTTACCTCCAAATGGGACGCTGTGCTTCATCAGCAGCGTATGAATGTGATTAGTTAACACTGATGGTCACTTTACTCAGCAGCCTCTACCATCAGTGTGTGAATGTGAAGGTGTGACCTGCGGGGTAAAAGTGCTTTGAGTCAGAAGACTAGAAAAGAACTATACAAGCTCAAGTCTCACATCTTTGTTGCATTACTTTATGTTTTTATTGAGCATCCGAAACCACAAATACAGTAGCTCCAAATAAAGTCAATAAATGTGAGATGACAGCTGTGACCTTGAAGTTTTGGGACGTAGTGCATCTAAAAATTATCTTAATTTCCTCCATGTTTCTTCTCCTCCTTCCTCCTTTCTCTTTCAAATTTTATGAGGTTTCTACTTCCTGCTTCTCCCTTCTTTCTGTCTTCTTTTTCTAATCCATCCTTTTCCTCTTCTTGTTTTTCTTTCTGGTTTTCCTTCTGGTTTTCCATTTCTGCTCTCGATGCCTTAATTGTTTTTTTCCTTCTTTTTGACCCGAAATTAACCAAAATTTGAGGAAGGACATTTTTAACTGACTGCAAAACTAAACATCTTCTCTGCGCAACAAATCAATCTTGCAAAATATTTACATTTTGTTCTTTTTCCTAAACTTTCACTGCGGTTTAGAATATTTTCTCCACAGTAACCTTTCTCTCAGGAAAAGAGAGAAAACGAGAGAGAGACAGAGAGAGAGAGAAAGAGAGACATCCTCAGGCCTGAAAAGGGACCATGTGATAATAAAAGCAAACAGGTAAGTGATCTGTGTATCACCTGACATTCACATGAGCAACAATTAGTGTCTCTGCACGGCGCCTCTTTTCAAATCAGAAAGACGAGCCCGGATTGAACGTTCTCCTCTGAAGAAGTAATTATATCTCCTCTTGTTTAGTGCAGAGGACGCACAAAGACTCCAGTTAGTCTGGGCTCTCCATCATCGGACGTGTGACTGACAGGGACTGAGAGGTGGGACAACACACACACAACACACACACACGCACACACACACACACACAATATCAGCTTTCATGGTGGAATTAAATGTGCGGCTGAGAGCGGCATGTTGCAGCGTGGAGAGAATCTAACGTTTGAAACCTCAAGACACATGAAGGTTCAACATGATTTGGTGTTTTTAAAGATCAGCTGTGAGAGTGATGCTCCATTAAAGGTGAAAATAACAGTGAGTTATGATCCGCAGATGAAGCAATTCGGGGGTTAAGTTAAGGACACATCGGACATGTTGCTGCAGGAGCTGGGGATTGAACCTTCTACCTTCCGGGTTGAGAGACGATGACTCGACCAACTGAGCCACAGCCACTCCTCATTCATAGATTAATCTGACCCACAGGACAACAGGAAGAAAGTCAGAGGGCTCAGATTTCTGGAAGAATTCAGGATTTCTCATCAGAGTTTGTATGCGTCTGTTTTTTTTTGGCGGGCTGATTTGGTCAAATGAAACACATCAGGCTTCAGCATGGATAGAAACGTCCTGTGGGTGTTTATATTGCTGTCCCTACAGCCTCACTCATCAAAATGGAGACGGACATTCAAAACACATTTTACACGATGGATATTAACTGCAAAATTAAGTCATGAAAACAGTCATGCACACACACACACACACACACACACAGCGCTGTTCTCACCTGCTGGCTCGACCAATCCCGTCTCTCCGCTGAAATTTTATTCATCCTTTATTTTAGCAGGGAGGACCCACTGAGAGCGAGGTCTCTTTTCCAGGAGTGCCCTGCAGGAATACCAAAACAAATAGAACAAATGTGATGACAGTTAAAAAAATTGGCACTGAAACACTTGTTCATACTTACAAACCAAGACCATTTAAATGATTTCACATTTTAATACAGTTGCATTTCTTCACCGTTTGAAACATGAGAGGGCAGCTTAGCCAGCATTTGAAAGTTATTCCACTTAACGGGTGCAGCAACACTGAAAGCAGTCTCCCACTGGGCAACTGACTCTGTTATTACCTCTGAAGATGCCACAGAGTGGGGAACCCTTCATCCCCACATTACACCTCTGTGATATTCATATCAACGGCGGATCATCACAGGGACGTAAATATTGTCAGCAAATAGTAAGTCAGCCACTGGTTCGTGTAGAAGTGTTGATGATCGCCATATTGGAAATGCTGTCTAAAGCCGTCTTCACATCTGCACTCTGGAAACTATCTAGATCATTTCAGGAGGACTGCTCCAGAGATTCTCTTGTCCTGGCTGTTCACACCTGTCCTCACAGCATAGGACTATCCCTGTCATGAGGGTCTCCATGACGTAATAAAAACTACCCAGAAGTAGCAGAGGAAGCAACAGAGTCCGCTGTATGATGCTATAATGAGAAACTGTATGAGTTTTCTGCAAGTGTGAAAGCCCTTAGATTTGGACTTTCATACCTGCAAAAAACGTCCTGAAATCCAAGCGAGCTGCATGTGTGAACACAGACAGACACATTTTGTTTAGACGTTATCTGGAATTTCCTAGCTTCCTGACTTGCCTCTCTTTTTTTATTCCTGAAGGGGAGTGATCTCATCTGTACCTGGGGCCTTAGGGTAGCAGGTTGTATAGATTGTAAAGTGTGTTTGTGTTGTCTGAGGCTGTGCGTGTGTATTTTGTCCCTTTCGTTTTGTCCTCCTGTTGTAAATGCTGATTCGAGGTTCCTACTGCTGTCCGATGATTCTAACGACTCATGATTCAAAAATTCAAAAGTAATGAAAAACCTAAAATTCGGCATCACAACAGTAATGAGCTCAGTAAACAACAGATTCCCGGAAACATTATCCCGACAAATTCAAGCCGACACAAACTATAAGCCTCAAACGCAGGTCTGTGTTCGAGAGCCAAATCTGGATTAATGTAGAATCAGATTTACTTTTTGTTTTTGTTTTTGGACAAAGAGGGTTCAAATTCCTCAATGAAACGTCTTTATGTAACCACAAAAGTTCAAAGTAGATGGTAGTTCGTCGTTTATTTCCTCAGCCTGAAGTTAGAAAAACACTTTTTCTGTCTCATTATTGTTAAGAACCTGTTTCACTTCAATAAATATAAAGTTAATAAAGTTATAAAAGGATCTAGTTTGGACCACAGACTGTATGAAACATGGACGTACTCTCAGCTATCTCACAAATTGGTGTCTGGCTGTTGCACAGTGGTAGAGTTGGTCGTTTCTCAACTGGAAGGTTGGGGGTTCGATCCCCTGCTCCTGCAGCCACATGTCTGATGTGACTTTGTGTGAGACACTTAACCCCAAGTTGCCCTCACTGCATCGTTGTTGACATATGTATCTGATGGTCACTTCACACAGCAGCCTCTGCCTTCAGTGTGTGAATGTGTAAAAGCAATTTAGAGCGCACTCACACATTAATGAAGTTTTAGAATCAAATCTAATTCTCATGTTCACCAAAAATGGCAAAAATAACCTGTATGTCCAGGTATTGTGACCTTAAAAATAATGAGTCCATTGCAAAGTTTGTTAGTTTTTATATTCTAACTTATTATAGCGACACAGGTTTATTTTTATTTTTCTTATTTGCAAAACATTCTTCTTTTATAAACCTTAGGTCCAACATGTTATCCCTTTATCCCAACATCTCTAAATGCACGAGACCATGTGTTACTTGCTCATCATCATCATCATCTTCATCGTGGGTCCTCTCTGCAGCATCCAACACAAACTTCAAACTCTTCGAAATAAAAACGGAGGGAGTGGTTATCTCACGAGCGCACATTCGCGGCGACCAATCAGAGCCTCGCAATAGAAATGCACCTGAGTAGCTGCCAGAGCGAGAGGCGGGTCTGCTGTATAAAACCAGGGGTCCCGTCATGTTATTGACCCAGCATCAGCCTGCTCCCGGTCGGACCTACACCAGCGTCGCACCATCCTTCTTTTTTTTTAAAAACCCAGAACACCGTCATGCACCTGAGCGCGTACGAGTCGTGCCATTCCCTGGTGGTCCTCTTCATCCTCCTGAGGAGCTGCCAGGCGCTGAAAAACGACGCCACGGAGCTGCTGTTCTCTCACGTGAGCGCGCCGGCACCGGAGGTTCAGAGCAACGCGACGCTGAACCGCGCGAGGAACGGCGGGAGAGGAGCGAGCAGCGGGGCGCACGAGAGAGAAGGTGAGTTTATCACATGCTCCTTTACATGAATGTTGAACTTGTGTGAGTTACTCTAGGAATTCAATGAAGTAAATTAGGTAAAGTATTTTCCCTGTCACAACCGGAAAGTTTATTTTTTTATACCAATGCATAAATCTACTCCGTTTATTCTCAGGTGTTTTATTCTAATCTGGGTTTATTCTCATGTTTACTGTTACCCTTCAGTGTAGAGTAAACATGTCAAAGTCGTCCTATCCAAGAGTTTGAATCCCGATTATTTTTCATCATGCTTCTGACTATATATCATTTCAAATGTGCTAAATTGTCTCTGCTTAGAAATATAAATGTTGCATAAAATACTTAGAGTTCTATCCTCTCTGATGGGCTCCTGGTGCAAACATACAGTTCAGTCTACAACTCTCCTATGAAGAATGCATACAAACTATATCAGTGGTTAAGCCTTTGCATTGTGTTAGGACAACTTGGTATTAGTTAAAGGGACTAATGAGTGTTATAGCCTGAACTGTTATGTGTATGTATGTGTGCACCTAAAACCCACAAGAGTGCTTAAACTCTTAAAGTAACTCATGCAACTGGTTCATGTGTTATATTGAGTTGAGACAGCTCTGCACTTTCAACAGTGCAATCATTATTTGGTGACATTATGTGCTTCATCAGTTGTTCCTTTTGATCCAGAGAAAATCAAAAGCTAAGTTAAAGTAACATTAAGTAGTTTAAAACTTGTTTGAGTTCAAATTCAAAGATATTCAGTTCAAAGTGTTGTCAGATATTTTGATTGATTATCTGAAACCTTCCAAATATTCTGCACTTTTCCCTTAAAGTCACCTATTTGATTAATCTTTCATCTTGAAGCTGACTTATTCGTCGATTAACTGTTTCCTCTGATTTTAGTGCTGAACATAGCTCAGTTTGCACGAGGAGAGAATAATGTTTGCCTTCTCGTTTCCATTTTTACTCATCATCTACCGTAATCTCGTTCTCCATTCTTCTTACGAAAGGTTGCACTCAGCTGACACACTCTGAATACATTCCAGGTTTAATGATCAAACTTCCTCCTGTTGTGTTTTACTTTGAACATCTGCATCTCAAAGAGTCAAACCAGGATCCAGTCATCATGCCTAATCAGTCACACACCTTCGAAAGAAAGATGAGAAGGCATTTTAAAATATCTCACAGCTGCTGTTTGCATTTAGTAATGTATATGCTGGATTTGTAAGTGTCCCTTTATGCAGAGAGGTTCGACAGTCGGGTTACCTGAGGCTGGCTACACACAAGACGATTTTCAGATCTTAACAAATTAAAGGTCAAACGTGAATTCAGAACAAAAAACAAATATGGAGGACGATGGACGTCGTCAGCTGGCTGTCCTGGTGTACCTTCTGTTTTGCAGCAAAAAAAACAAAAAACAGAAAATAGATAAAGAAAACTTTGTGTTTGTTTGTGAGCTGTGAAAGTGTACAACATCAGGTTGGTGACGCTTCCTGGTCTGCTCGCTCTCATTGGCTGTATTCCCGTCGAAGGCAGCCTGATCTGATATTTTCGATTCCAGATTGGGGAGGCTCCGACTTGATCAAGAGAAGTTAAACCACTGTATTGACGTCACACATTTATTTGGTCAAATAATCGGTTGCAGCAAGCCTTGAATCAGGACACGCCCCCTGCAGATTGTTGGGGGGCGGGGCCTGTAATCGTCTAGTGTGTAGCCAGCCTGTTATACACAGTGGCTCATGGTAAAGTATAACACCCTCAGTGAGCTCACACAGAGGCTCTCCTGCTGTAGTTCAGACTGTTTCCCCTCCCACAGCGAGGCGAGCCGACACTCAGTCCAACACACCTGGCTGTCTCTGGCATGAGCAGCCCGACTGAGCGGAGGTGTTCTTCCATAAACAGGAAGCCTCTGATCATGGCTCTAAGCTCTGCCAGCAGCAGACCGTGAAGGAGGAGAGTGAGAGACACTCACTCCGGTTCATTCATCAAACCCTGTCACAGAGAAGTAGCGGGCATTGTCTCTGAGGTTTATGGATCTGTATGAATGGACCTGAGCTTGGGTTACAGAGGTGGAGGTGGAGGAGGTGGTGGGGGGGGGCCAGAGTGTGTAGCCTGCAGCAGAATAACACACTCAGTGGTAGCTGCTGCTGCAGATCCACATTCTTTTTCAAATATCTTTAATTCCTCAAACTTTGGTAGCAGAAGTGTCAAAAAGCTGCTGTGCTCTCTCCTTACTCACCAGAGGTTAACTAAAGTAACGCTCAACTACTATGCTGCTAATATCACGTTTTAACCCTTTAATGTCAGAGGCATGTAAGAATGATAACCAGTTATTGTGGCTCTAACGTTGCAGCTGCAGTTCCTCACATCTCACCATTCATGCATGTTCATAAGATCTATTAGTTTTCCAATATGCAGCATTATAATTAGGACTAGCCATTTGCTTATGCTTTTATTTTGTCTTAAGCTCGGGTACTTCACTTTATGTTTGGATCAAACTTTTTTTGGGGGGAAGAAAATTAGGAACTTCCTTCTGGTCCATCGAAAAGTTACGAAGAGGTCCAAATGCTCCAGCAACACTTGTAGTATGAAGATAAACTTTATTAACAAATTAGCCCCGACGCGTTTAGGCTTGTGACCTTCATCAGGGTCATCCCGCTCTGCTCCATCCAAAGTTACGACATGAAATTATCTCGGGAAATGAGCTCGCTGCAGATCAAAACGTAAATGGAAAAAGGCCAAAAGGGAAGAGGAAAAAAAAAAATAAATGTTTTGATATCACAAGGTGCGTTTTACTTTTGACTTTTCAACTGAGCTGTCTGGGAGTTGTTTGATCATTTAAAGGTGCAGAGGTGACGTTATTTTCCATCACTGCGGCTACAGGAGGACGAAGTAGCACGCGTTTATGTGATTTTAACAATAATGCTTTAACTTCTCATCGCAATTAACACATTAACTATTACAGGCCTAATTATAAAACTTCCTTGCAGAACACATAATGCAGAAATCAATGCTCAGGGGTGATTTAGAAATGGCTTCATTAGTTACTTTGTCCAGCAGAGGGCGCTCTTACAACTTTATGTTTCTAATACCCTGAGCACTGGCTGCAGCACATGAAGAGTACACAGCTGTGGTCAGTGCTCCAAGTGATGAATGTAGAATGTGATGTTACCAAATTATTCGCAAGAAAGCAGCCATCTTTTTAGTTTTGAATCGTCATGGGGGCGACATTGCTGCAAAATCTCAAAGATTCATTGTATTGGCCACCATATCTGTGTTCCAGGTATCTTACCATACTAGTCAGGATCATTCTCATGCATCTCTATCGAACACGGTTGAGGATTTATTTTTCCTAAATTCACTCACTTTTCTTTTTGTGTTTCCACAGAACGAAGCCAGATTGGCTGCAGAGAGCTGAGGTCAACTAAGTACATCTCTGACGGCCACTGCACCAGCATCAACCCCATCAAGGAGCTGGTGTGCACCGGCGAGTGTCTTCCGGCTCAGATGCTTCAAAACTGGATCGGCGGTGCCTACAGCAGGAAGCCCTGGGGTCGCCGGAGCAGCAGCCAGGACTGGCGGTGCGTCAACGACAAGACCCGCACGCAACGCATCCAACTGCAGTGCCAAGACGGCAGCACGAGAACGTACAAAATCACCGTGGTCACGTCCTGCAAGTGCAAGAGGTACTCGAGGCAGCACAACGAGTCCGGGAGCAAGTTCGAGGAGCCGTCTCTGACGCCGCCGCTGCTCCTGCACAAACACAAATCAAAGAGGAGCAAGAGCAAGAGGAGGCTGGGGAAGAACCGGCTGAGTGAGAACTGGCACGAGACTGAACCCTGAGAGCAGAGAGGCATAAAGACTCTGAATCCACATGAGCCTACAGGAGTTTGTCTTCATGATACTGAGACACAACGTCCAGAACTTGTGGATTATCTCTGAATGGACTGACAGCGAGATCGAGAACTGCCATGTGGCTCGCCATTTTAGGTACACCGGCATGCCAGTTTTATTGTAGTAAATGCCAAAAAGAAAGACAAGTTGTGTTATTTTCATGAATCATGGTGATGGAAGATGGGCAGTACTGGTGTGAGTGATGAGTGGTACATGGCGCTGGCCCCCTGCCGCCATGTTCCCCTCGACAAAGCGCACCTGTTGCTTTAAATCTGGCATGCCCCCAACATCACAGGCATGCCAGTGCTCCTGAAGCGGCACTCCACATGGCAGTTCTTCGACCTCGGCGCTGCCGTCTGAATGTGACTGGGACTAGATTCAAGTGAAGCTGGTTCCTGACGATGCTGGAGAACTCTAAAGGATGTCCCGAGGACGTTCCTTGACCTTTTAAATGTTGTTGAAGATAATGTGAACAGAACCGAGGCGGATAATCTGCGGAGCTCCCTGGAGCCGAGACCAACCCAACCTGCCCCACATGTAGCCATGAGCATGCATTTTGTATTCATTGTATACACAGATGAAGCTTTTCAAACTTTTTAACCACCAACACCAGTAAACACCAAAACATCTACAAAAAAAAAAAAAAAAAAAAAACATCCCTGTAAATACTTGTACATATATCAAATTCTTACTTGCCTTTTGAAGTCTGGCCATGTGTATAAAGATGTACTGTGTAAGATTCATGATGTATGATGTAATATATTTTCTGTGCAACATTTAAAATGAAAAGTTTGCGTCAGCTTTGCGAGTGAAATCTAGAAAAGCTTTGTCACTAATCCGTCTTTGTAATAACTTTATATGGAATAAATATAACGTTTGACCACATGTGTTGTCTTCCATGGAGAGTTTACTGAGTATCTTACCGATGATAACACGTGTGGATGTTGGTTTCATCCACAGAACAGGAGAATTGGCATTGAATCAAAATATTAATTAAATGTGTCTGCATCTGATAATGTTGTGTTAGAGTAATTGGAAGTAATTGTCTAAGCTACTTGAAACAAAATATCTACAACCTTTGATGTGTAATGAATAAAATCTTTACTCGAGGCAAACAAAGGAGCTGGAGCTTTCATCAATCACCTCTGCACTCCTGAAATGTCTTGAAAAATTGACTGCCGCTGAAGAATGATGCAAAAGTAATGGACGAAGCAAAAGAGTCAAACGCTATTATGACAGTTTTTTTTGTGTTTATATCAATGCTCTGTGTTGCTTCACATATTTAGAAGATCAACTAAAGAGAGTAGAAGAACAGAAAACATAAAGGAGCATTTTCACTTTTGTGCATGGAGATCGAACCTATCGGGAGCTACAGTCGTGTGCTTTTTCTCGTAGAGTATTCCCAACTTCTCCCCCCCAGCTCACTCGCTGTACATTTTCCGGAATATTTCCTGTTGTGTTTTTACATCAGCTCACCGTGACTTCATATGGGAAATGTACCAGGCGGCTATAAGGAAAAAGTCTGGGTAAAGTCAGAGTGAAAAAGGTCCTCGTTGCAGCAGCAGGGGGTTTTCTGACAAAAAAACAAACAAATCCTGCTATCTTTTAACAATAAATCACAGGTGTATTATAGTTTCTTTCCATTTTTGCTGTGGACAATGTTAAAAAATGCTTTTTTCTGCAGCCTGCTTATCTACCCTGAGGCAGAAGTTAAAGGTATCAAAATAACATTGTTGCTGATGGTCTCATTTGTTTTTTTTAGGCCATAAAAAAACAAAGATATTGCAAAATGGTTTCACTACAGACATGTTACAGAGTAAAATGTTCATTAATTCAGATTTGCAAGCCTAATATTAAGCTTCACTTCATTTTCTGGTGAAGTCTATGTGAAGTCCAACCAAAATACGGGTTGTTTATTTTGAAAGAGCTTACCGGATGTACATGTTTTACAAGTTAATACTTGACAGCGTTGATACAAAATTCTCCATCCACGTTTGGACATGTTTAGGGAATAACCTTCCGTGACACCACACTCTTCCGTCCACGAATTTATGGAGTTCAACCAAAATATTTGAGGTAACATGCAGAGCGATAACTGTGGCCCGGACAGGCCCGCTCATCCGGGGATTTTCCCAACTGGAGAAGCCGGGAAGAGCGACCACGAGCCGGCGGAACGCAGCGTGGACTTCCCGGTGTCCGTGGTTCTTCCTGCGGGTGGAACAGGAGAGAGAACCGGGCTGCAGACACCGAAACAGTTTTGCTCGTTTCTGGGGCGACCGCTCATTAGCTACACTGTCCAGACTTTCGAGAGGTAGGAAAAGACTGATGCAGAAAGAGACTTAAATCTCAGTTTGTGTTTATTTTGATTCTGTCAGGGAGGCTGACACACTTCATCCACACAGTCAGGTATTCCACTTCCGGTGTGTGTCTGCCATAAACTGTAAATATGAAGGTCTGTGCACAATATACATTTAGCTTTTGAACTTTAATACAAAATGACAGGTAAAACTTAATGACTGCCTTTTCATTTTCTTGTGGAAAAATTTCCATGAAGGAATTTATGAAGTAACCAGATGGGAATACCTGTGTAATCCTGCAAATTAAATACCTGACGAGTCAATTTTCTTTCTTTCATTGATGCACAAACCATTTTAACAGTTTAATATTCCCAGCAGTCTTTCTTTATGGTGGCCCCTAAAGGTCAACTGCAAAAACTTTTCACAGAAAGCAATAAAAATGTAACATTTCATGACACTGTTTTTATGCTTAATGGCTTTTTTTTTTGTTTTTATTATAATTTTATATACTTTATCAATCCCAGAGGGGAAATTCTGGGTTATACTCTGTTACTGAGAGAACTGCTTCTCACACACATGAGCCCGAAATACACACACATGCACAAACAGGACCTGTGGACGTGCATTAATGGAGAGATGCCAGAGTGAGGCTGCTACGCAGGGAGCGCACCAGAGCTGTTAGGGGTTCGGTGGCTTGCTCAAGGACACCTCGGCAGTATTCAGGAAGTGCCCTGGCACCTCTCCAGCTACCAGACCAACTACCATATTATGGTCCGCATCGAGACTTGATCCGGTGACCCTCCGGTTCCCAAAACAAGTCCCTATGGACTGAGATACTGCTGAGATACTTGCATTTAGTCAACCTTCAGGGCCGCCGTACTTTATATTTAAGGGATTTCTAACATTTTCCACACAAGCCTTACACCAAGAGACTCTAAAATAAAAGCTACAGCACCATGTTATTACAAAGATTTTCACTTATCTTGTTTTGCACAGAAATTTAAGGCACAGAAAAAGTCAAACCAAAGCTCTTCATACATTAATTGAGAGACCAACATAATTTACATACTGCAGGTTTTGGTCATGAACTAAAGGAATAGAATAGAATAGAACTTTATTTGTCCACAAATTGGAAAATTGTCTTTGGCTTCACAAGAACAAGACAGAAAGAACGTTATGACAAACAACACAACATTCAAGCACAGCAGGAAACCAGGAGAGCGCCTGTAGTCCTTGACAACATCACAGTCAGCATTTAAAATGTAAAATTATAATTTAGTATAATAATAAGCCAGGGTTTTAATACATTTCATAAACCGAAATGGTTCATGATTTTGGGGAATGCTCCTCATATAAGGAGCGTGGGCGAATGTTATGATCTTCCTATCTTCTCTGGGCTTTCTGATGACGCCTGTGACTAAACGGGCATAACTGAGTGACTGCTGCGTTCTTGCAGGTTGTCATGGATCCAGAGCATTGTAGTCGTTGTAGCCAAAGAACACATGGACCTGATGACGGACATCATCCAGCGCTTTCAACACAGGAAGGTTCGAGTGGTGCCAGGCGGCTCCACTCGTCACAGGTCCATATGGAACGGAGTCCTGGCCCTGGGGGGCGAGGCGGAGGGGGAGGCGGCAGCAGGAGACCGACCAAAGGTGGTCATCATCCACGATGCGGTGAGGCCTTTTGTGGAGGAGGACTTCCTTTACAAGATCACCATGGCTGCCAAAGAACAAGGGGTCAGTATGAGGAATGCATGTCCTTTAAATGATTTAGCCATTCTCATTTAGGCCTGTCAAGTATTTCTTTCCTCAGGTTTATATTTTTCATGCTTGGAGGGCCTGGTTTCCTCCCTGATTGCACTGCCACCTAGTGTTTGTAGTCGGAGTATTGCAGAGCTACACAGACAAAGATGTACAAGTATGTTATGCTCAAGATGGCGTAGGCAAAGCTACAGAAGTATAATGCTCTTTAGAAGCCCAGATCTCCAAATCGTTAAATCCTAATTATCAAGTCCATTGTTTTCCAGTTTCAGATCAATACAGTTCATCTACCGATCAATATCAATTTAATTTGAAAGGTCACATATTCTCCTCTTTTTCAACCAGTTTAAATAAGTCTCAGAGCTCCCTAAAACATGTCTGTGAAGTGTCCTGTATTTGATCATGTCTATAAACCCCTCTATTTTAGCCCTGCTCAGAACAGGCTGTTTCTGTGTCTGTACCTTTAAATATGTAAATGAGCTGTGTCTGACCACGCCCCCTCTATGGAAGGGCTTGGGTGTTCTCAGGCTTTCTCGCTCCATGTCCTATTGTTTACGGTGAGAAGGCAGACCCAGAGGGCAGAACAAACACCTAGCTGTGGGAGTGTCACCCACCTGGGGGAGGGGTTACTGCCCTTTGTGATGTCATGAAGGGAAAATCTCCAAACAGCCTGTTTGAGCACACATTTTCTGAAAAGTGGAGCAGGCTAAAGACGGAGAGGATGGACTTTTCTCATCATTGGGGGGTTTGTAGACAGACTAGAGACACATATTAGTGTTAGAGGAACATGGTGAAGAGGATTTTGCAGAATATGTGACCTTAAGCTCCAAATAACTACATTGATACAGAGATTTGTACAGTTTGTGCATCGTCGATTCAGGAGAAATGGGACTGCTTCTTTTAGTTGTTTAGGGTTTAGTATTTTAAACTTGCTTCTGAAGCTCCGAAAGTAAGAGCCTCTCCTTCCAATATCGTTGTACTTGTGTAATGACAATAAAGGTATTCTGGTTCCATTTCCAAGAGAACTACATTAAAGAGATAAAATGTAATCCTCCCAATCTGGAGGAAGAATGCCACACAGCAGATTCAATGAACTGGAGCTTTTTAATTCAACTGCAGCTGAAAACCAGTGCCCAGCCTGTTACAACACAGAGAGTAAACAGATCTATCACAGTTAGATTTTCACCTGGTGGGATGACAGGTTACCAAACGCAACACGTGTGTTTAGTGTGTGTGGCCTGTGGCTCATTTTTCAAACTGTGCAGTTTGAACAAAAACAAACGCTAAAAATAAGACCAAGTCAAGTTTTCCATTCGAGTTCAGACCAAAGACGACAAACACTTCTCATGATCGTAACTTTCCCTCCTCCCTTTTGCACCCGTGCTCCGTCCATCTTTTCATAAACTGTTTATCAAGCCGACGGCTCCATCGCTCCTGGTGTAAGCGTTTATTCGATTGCTGATGGATGGAACACATTCGGGCTGTAGTCACAGCCGCTGTGACAACACGCTCGGCGATTAACTCTCATAATGATTCATGGCTGAGACGCCGCTAACTGCAGGTCACACAGGTTGTGAAATAAAGCGAGCGCTCCCTGACGTGAGACCAACGTTCATGGCGTGTTTCTGAGTGTGTGTGCTTGGTGATGAACTCTCACAGCAGGCGGTCTGGTCTTCGTTATCCTGCTCGTGTCCACGCTCACGACAGAACCACCAGGCAGCAGATTCATTTGGGTTCTAACGCCATGTGTAACACGCAGAACATCTGTTTGCTTTCCTTTCATTTGCAAGATGTTTCCCTCAGATTTATGGATTCGTTGGTACTCTGTCATGTGGCTTCTCTGTGATCAAAGTTTATTTTTGATCAGGGATAAATGCCGTCATTAAAAATATTGTGAGAATATCAAGTGCATGTTGAGCTAGTAATTCAAATACTTTAATTTTACAAGATTTATTTTATATCTTTATTCAGATAGGACAGTCAACAGAGAGAAAAGGAATCTGAAGAGAGCTTTGGTAATGAAATGTGGGAAAGGAGCCACATGTCTGACTCGAACCTGGTCCGTCCGCCTGGAAGACTCTAGCCTCCATTAATAGCGCAACCTAAACTAAATAAAGGCATAAAAGACAAAAAAAAAAAACCTTTAAAAAATAGACAGAGTGCAGAGGAGGTGACATCGTCTAAATTGCTCAAAAACGTTTCCAACGTCTTTAAACAATTTAGACAATGTGCCGGAGTTTGCTTGCAATTTTGGGTGGTTAAAGGAGCAGTATGTAACTCTGCCACCTAGTGTTTAAAATGGGTACTGCAGTACACATTAAAAACATTGTAGAGAGATGTCTCCCCCCGTCCCCTCCTCTCTAGAGTCGATGCTCACACAGGTCACCATGTGGTGGACACTGAAGCTTCAGTGTTTAGCCAGCTCTGCATCAGTCTGTAAACCTTTCTGTGTTCTAACCTCTCTCCATTTTTTCAAAAACATCTCCAATATTGATCCTAGTTTGAGCACGTTTCTGCTCGTGGAGCTTATTAGAAACATGCAGAGACTTTTTAGGTCGGGTACAATCACTTCTATCTGAACCAGTTCTCTTGCCCGCTTCCATCGCTGCAACACCTGTTGGTTTGACCTGATAACTGCTCTCATATCTGGCAAACCAAGGGGCGTCCAAAACGGCCGTGTGGGGGAGCCTTAAAACCGCTTACCTTCTCTGGTCCAAACAAATCCAGAGCATTCAGGACCAGAATCTGAAGGTAGAAGGAGGACATACTGGCTGCTGCATTTTTGTCAGAGAAGCCAGCACTCCATAATTTCTGATCAGATAGTAAGGTCACTCACTACTACACATTTTACTGATTGGTCCTTTAAAAACAGGACAATACCAAATATTGGGTGTCTAGGTCTTGATTTTTACTTGCATCTTACTGAAGTCTTACTCAGGGAATTTTAAAGTTATTTCTAATTGCAAACACTACAAATGGACTCTTTTCTCCTCCATCCAGGCAGCAGGAGCTATCCGCCCCCTTGTGTCCACAGTCATAGCCACCACGGCTGAGGGTTACCTGGATCATTCTCTGGAGCGAGCCAAGTACAGAGCCAGCGAGATGCCTCAGGGGTTCACGTATGATGTCATCTATCAAGCCTATCAGAGGGTACTGTCTCTTACCTTAACACGAGATGGCTCATCAGAGAAAATGTAGGGATGTGATTCTTCAGGATTACTCTAAAAGCTTTCTGACTCTGATTAAGTGTTGTTTCCCCAAAAGCCACATTTGTTAAAGTAACATGTGTTATTCTGGGATGTACAAATCAAGTCCTGAAGGGATCTGCTCTTTGATTCTGATGTCGATTGTGGCCTTAGAAGAACCTCTTAAATCTTATAAAATGACATGTCAGGTTGAGATTTACTCTCTAAAAATGACACGACTTAGAAGACAAAGGCGTTTCTGATTCTCGTACATCTTAACGAGCCTTCACAGTCGCTCATTGTTCAGATGATGTGCAGCAACCTGCAGGTCTTCACTGTGAGGAGGAGGCGGCGGCGTTGGTGCTATCACTTTCACTCTGTCTCTGCTGCATCTGGGAAAGAAATGAGACGTTAATATATTCTGCCACACTGCAGCAGATCAGTCTGTGGAACAAAAGTGAACATTTGGAAAAATAGTATAAGAGGGCTGAAGCTAAACGGCACATTTAGGTGGATGAAGATGAATAGTCTCAGCAGTTGAGTGCCTTTTAATATGCGTACCTGAAAATTGGAAAGAATGGCTGCTCTCTGACGTGAGCCGTAAATGTGTTGAGTCTTTTCTGACAGCGGAGGCTCATTGCTCTGACTTGGCGGGATGATCTGAGCCAGCTTTGAGTTGAAGAGGTTGACCTTGTTTATTTTTCAGACACTTTCAGTTTGCTTTTTCAGCTTTTACTTCATTAGACGCTTCTTCTGATTGCCAGGCTTTTTTGAAGGACGCAGGCAAACTTTGAGCTAAGAGCAAAAATATGCCTCCAAACTGGAGCTCCGGTTATTTTTATTCCTGGCACATGTGAATCCTCAGATTGCTCTGGGAGCCCGGCTGGCTTTGGTGTTGGCCTTTTCAGAAAATGAGCTCATATTTGTGAGGCTGTGTCAGGGCCAGTTAAGTTGCAAAAATTAGGACAAACTTGGGAGGTCGCTGGAGAAGGGGGAGGTTGGGGTTGCGTCCCCCTCTCTCTCCTCTTCTGTTGTTCTCCTCTTCTGCAACCTTTGAAAAGATTGGGAAAGTGTCAGGTTAGCACTGTAGGACATACTCATGAAAAATCTCTTGAGAGCTGCACATTTGTAGCTTGACATCCATTGAGAGCAGAAGAACTTAGGGCTGAAAAGACAAAAGGGGGGAGACACTTTATCCAGTCCCCTGTGGAAGCTTTTGTACCAGCAGAAAATGCTGAAGGTTAAATTACCTCAGAGCGAGAACACTTTTTTGCTGTAATTTCTCTCTAATGTTCCATTGAATAAAAGACCCACATCGCTTTTATAAGTTGGTAAAATATTGCCCAGATGTATTCTCAGGTAGCAGGAGCGTGTGTTTGTAGTTCAAACTGCTTTTTAAACTGAATGAGCTCATCGTCTTAACACAGAACTCCACAGACGGAGCTTTCCCAGCTTAGAATCAGAGCACACAATGTTTTCAATACATTAAAGGAGCAGTATGTAACTCTGACACCTAGTGTTTAAAATGGGTACTGCAGTACACATTAAAAACATTGTAGAGAGCTGTCTCCCCCCGCCCCCTCCTCTCTAGAGTCGATGCTCACCCAGGTCACCATGTGGTAGACACTGAAGCTTCAGTGTTTAGCCAGCTCCGCATCGGTCTGTAAACCTTTCAGCGTTCTAACCTCTCTCCATTTTTCAAAAGCATCTCCAATATTGATCCTAGTTTGAGCACGTTTCTGCTCGTGGAGCTTATTAGAAACATGCAGAGGCTTTTTAGGTCGGGTACAATCACTTCTAGCTGAACCAGTTCTCTTGCCCGCTTCCATCGCTGCAACACCTGTTGGTTTGACCTGATAACTGCTCTCATATCTGGCAAACCAAGGGGTGTCCAAAACGGCCGTGTGGGGGTCGCCTTAAAACCGCCTACCTTCTCTGGTCCAAAGAAATACACATACCGGTGTTATGGTCTAAATTAGTGACCCGCCTACTGCACAGAAGATGATGATTTTTCAGTGATATTTATGGTCTTGGTCTCGATTAGTGTGGTCTACATTTCAACACTAGGGCACAGCTTTTACATTTAAATGTTTTGCTCATCAAACTGAATTCTCCTGCTGATGTGGTCAGATTTATTTTTAGTTGAAGGAAGTTTATCGAAATGAACCGATGTTGAATAAAGTGAAGCTGAAAGAATCAGGCCCTGAGATTACTATTTGCCTCTTCTTGCACAAGCCAACATTTCTGCAGTTCAACAAGAAAGTGAATCAAATCGTATAGAACAGTGTGGGAACATTTCTTACGAGCAGATGAAATCAAAGCTCTTAATTCATAAAGATGAGAGTGTTACAGGACACTCGGTCCATCATCCAAAGAAAACAGTTTTATCTCAAGTGTTTGCTGAAATATGACAGCAGCGTCATGTCCTGAGACGGTATTTGAAATGTTTCAGATAGTTTAGTGAAATATCTGCAGACAGATCAGGTTGAAGAAGAGAATCTGTCGGGGAAAGATCCAAATGTTGGACAAAACCAAAAATGATCTCAGGAATACTTGGACAGAAAGAAGCGCCTTCTCCAACACGTTGTAAATCAGTCGCACAGAAAAAATGTAAAATCCAAAACATTTATTTAGAAGAATCTTTAGCACATTTATGTTCCATATTAGACTTCTCTTGTAGCTCTCAAATGTCTTAAATGTGGGGTGCTGTTGGGGCGCGCACCCCATGTATGGAGGCTGTGGTCCTCCAGGCTTGCACCTGGGGTTCAAATCCGACCCGTGGCTCCTTTATCGCGTCATTCCCCACGCTCTCTGTCCCTTCCTGTCTCTCCAATAAAGGCACAAAAAGCCCAAAAACAAATCGTCCAAAAAAAAGTCTCAAATCTACAGCAAGACATCCAGTAAGCATTTAGCTGAAATCACTGCTGTACTTACAGCGCACTCAAACTAGAACCAGTTGCCCCTTACCGTGCTGAAGCATGACTCCCCCCACCTCCCCATTCCCCCGCTGGCCTGCACTCACACTGCTCCAGGACTAACCGGGCCTGAGCACGGTTACCTAACGTTGTAATACAACACAGGTATGTCTGTTCTTGATTATGAAGCGTGCTCAGTTTACAAGACAGGCAGACAAATAAAAACAGGTGATGCACAGTCAAGTGCGTGTCCGAGAATATGATTACAACTTCACTGACTTTGTGGCATATTTGGAGTCATTTTAGTTGGATACATCCAGACAACTCAACAATGGAAGGCTTGGGTTGTTTACACGTCCTGTCCACGTTTTGTGAGCAACCGTGCTTGAGCAACCGTCCCATGCCGAAGCAAACCTCTTCCATCCGTGCAAGGTCCAAGAAAGTGTACCGTGCTTGATCATGGAACGCTGCCCGCACACAAGTCAAAGAAACTGGACTTTTGGGGGCACACATGCTTGTGCACGGTACAGATTGTCTAGTGTGTGAGTGCACCCTCAGAAACAACCTGGTAAAGGTGCTGACATGGCAAGTGAACGTTTCATCTAAATGTGACCTAAATCTACTTTTAAATGAAGTGTTTGTGATTGACTTTCCTCTCCCCTGTGTCCCCTCTGCCTGCAGTGCACTGAGTCAGACTTTGAGTTTGGCACCGAGTGTCTCCATCTGGCTCTGCAGTACTGTGGCACCAACGCCAAGCTCATCCAGGGGCCGCCAACGCTGTGGAAGGTGAGCTCGCCAGGGGCCTGGTGTGGGTTGAAGATTGTAGATACTCTTGACATTTTGACTCGCGCAGCTTCACATGCCAGCGTGCAGATTTATCACGTGGGCACAAAGAAAGCTGATGGATTGAAAAGGAGGTTTTTCTGGCAAATACTGAAACGCACGTAAATATTGAATGTGACGTCCAGGATTAGTATGTGGAGTTTAGTGAACGGAGTTGTGCACTCAACCCTCTGTGAGATTGTATAACTCTTTGATTAATCACTCAGATAACATAAAGACTCCAAGTTCAATTAAATATTATCTTCCCATGAAGATCGATGGTTTTATGTGCTGAGGTTTTCGGTTTTCGGTCTCCAGCCTGATAAAAAATGTATCTGGAAAGAATTTAGTTTATTGTGCTGAAAGAGCAGAAGAACGACATTTAGATTACGGCTTTTGTTTCCAGAAATAATGCCTCAGTTACCCAACCTTTGATTGTGATATATAAAGCCATGACGCCGAGCCAAAGGTCAGGTGTCTCTTATTTATGAGCGATTAAGCTGGAGAGGGATTGTAGTGAATCTCTCAGGATCAGCCAGTTTGGTCCATAAAAGGGATAATAAAATGAAAGTTGCGTTTTTGATGCAAAACATGAGCCCTGCAGACTCATAGTAGATATGTGACTGACAGGCGTTGTGGCTGTTAGACAGGAAGCTCGATGACTTTCAGTAGCCGGAGTTCAAATCCAACATGGCTGCTACATGCATCTTTTAAGCTCTTTCCATTGAGTTTATTAGCAGCTTAGTCCTCTATTTGTGTAATTAAATCAATCACATCAAAAGTATTGTACAAGTTGGATCTGTGGATGTGTTACTCCCGGAGGCGGCCATGTTGCTCCTCTGACTTGTTGCCAACAGGCAATTGGAACGTGTTACTTGCTAAATGGAATTCACCATAAGACCTGCCCAGCTCCACCTCTTTGTCTGTTTCTAAGTTGACCAAAAGTTAGTGCGAGACAGAATTTCAAATATGGTGGCCGTCCTCATGTAGGCATCAAAAACCAATGGGTGACATCACTGAAACTACGTCCATGTTTTTTTTACTGTTTATAAATAGAACCCATCCTGTTTTCTAAACTTTAGTCTCTGGGTCCATAGCAGCAGGCCGACCAACAATCCCAGGGAACCTACATGACATTCTGATTGAAGACGACAAGTCACCGAAGGCGGAAATATCGCGGCTTGAAAGGGCTGAATAGGGCTTCTGAAACGGTTTCTGATGGGACACTGCTGTGAATTTCATTTAAATGTCCTTCAAACTGAAACCATCAGTTTGTCCCAATAATTCTATAATCCTTTTCTAATTTGTCTGAACTGGTTCATGGAAAAAAAGTTGTTTTGTCCTCCAGGTGACTTACAAACGAGATCTGGCGGCGGCTGAGTCCATTATCAAAGGTGTGTATGCAGAATCCCGTCGTTTCCTGTATGTACTGTGCGTTGTGGACTTTTCTGTATGCACACATGAAGCATGAATGTCGAGACAAAAGGTTGACGGTCGTCTCAGACGGGGGGAAATGAAGAGTTCTTGTCTGAGTGAAGAGTTGGAGATGAATAGAACAAACACTGAGCGAGTCTTTGAACATTGTTCAGCTTCGTCGGCCTGCGAGAACTACGCACAGCAAGTCAGGACAAGGGAGAATTTCACAATCAGAGAAATAAACACAGACACATATTTCAGCCTTTAAACACCTGGACCAACAATTACCTGTTTGATGAGGAGCGCAGTGAGAACTCCCAGAGACCGGGATGTGAATGAATTCATTGTGTGTTGACACACAATGAATTCTGTTCCACAGCAGTGTGAGACGTGGAAGAAAGTTCTCACGTCTGTCAGTGTGATGAACTGTCGAGTGTTTCAGAATCTGTGTGTGCGTGCGTGCCTGTTACATTGTGTGTCTTGGTAAAAAGTGTGTTTGTGGTAACTCCAACTGACTGGTATTTAAATTGTTGGTTCTATATTTCCATCAGTTATCAAAGTCAGAGAAATAATAATAACCTTCTGAGAACATCCTCTCCAAATATGGATTCAGAGTTACATGTGATTGGACACGGAGCTGTCCCCTTTTGGAGAAGCCTTCATTTTCACCCTTTTGGTATAATTCAAAACAACTGATTACCACCGGAGTCTAACACGAGTCATCCGTCTCCTCCTTCAGACGCTCTTTCACAGTCGGCCTGTATCATCACAGGTGGATCTGCACATGCTGCGACGCTGGCTGGCGCTCTGCAGAAGGCTGCGGGAGCTCTCGACACGGTAAGAATGCGACAGTTACAGCTGATTAACATGTCGGTTATGTTGATGACAGCTTTTTAAAAAAAAAAATTATCCTATGGGCTTGGCATTTTTGTTTTCCTTTATCTTCTCAACCATCCCTTCACCTCAAATCCCCCCACAAACTCAATGTGAGCTCCGCCTGGGTGGCCCCGGTGGTGAAACCTACCATCTGTGGTCAGGCCTCTGATCTCGCTCGTCTGGGACATCCAATCTCTGCAGCTTTTCCTCCTCCTCATTTTACCCCTCCGTCCCTCCCCTCCATGCAGGAGAGTTAGATGGCAGTCATATTTTACTGCACCGAGGGAGTTTGCTTGATTAATTGAGTGTTTCTTGATGGGGTCTTACCTCGTCTTTCCCATCAGTCTACCACTTCTGCACAGTCAGTTTTGACAAGGGCCCAGTTTCCACCACAGCTCAAATCCCTCCCTTTCACTCTTGATCTTCTTTTGGGCAATTGAGATTCCCAAGTTGCAAAGATCCTCCGTCTAATTTGTAAGATTGCTCCTAATAGACAATGGAAAACAATATCCATATGCAAAACCTGTAAGTGAGTGACAGTTTGAGATATTCAATGAGACAGCAGTGACCACATCGAAGTTCCATATGTGAAAGGCTCTTTTTCTTCTCGATAACTTTTGGGTTTCCCTCGAGCAAGCCACGTAACCACTAACTCAAGAACTACTTCTTACTGAGGGAAGAAATCTCTGTCTGCATGTTTGTCGAGATATGTCGATTCAACTGTCTTCACACTTGTTGTTGTTATTGTTCAGTACAGTAGAGAGGGAAGTGTAGAGTAGGAAGTCGATAGCAATTCTGCAAGCAGCAAGAAGTGGAACAAAGCAACTGGCCTACTCTGGACCAAGTGGTGACAGATTAGAGATGGAATCTTTTATATCGATATCGGGTCCGATATTGAAATACTTTACATATCGGATATCGGACTGACGACGCCGTTCCACGTCACAGATCAAGAAATATGGTTGGGCAATTCAAACATTCTCAGTTTGCTCAGTCTCTTTTTGAAGACGTTCAGACTGACCTGTCAGAAGTGTCCACCAATCGTCTCCATGACGACGTTTAGACGAGATAGAGCAGCTCCTTCTATGCGATCAAAGGTACAGTTTCTTGGGGAGCTGGTGGTGCAGTGGTTGGTGAGTGCGCCCCATGTGTGTGGAGGCTGTGGTCCTCTGGGCGGGCGGCCCGGCCCGGGTTCGAGTCCCACCTGTGGCTCCTTTCCTGCGTGTCGTTCCCTACTCTCTCTCTACCTGATTTCCAACTCTATCCACTGTCCTATCACTCCAATTAAGGCACAAAAAAAGTACAACTCCTACACTTCAGTTTAAAAGATATAATTTAAAATACCTGACGGTTTTTGCTGCTTCCTGTTTGTATTTGAAGACAGCACAAAACAATATTGGGTTTACTACAGCTTTGTGTAGCCTTACACATAATACCAACAACAACAATAACATTATTTGTTAAGATATAAAAATATTGGAATCAGTATCAGTATTGGTACATATGTATGTATTGGAATTGGATCAGAACTGAAAAAAAGTGGATCAGTGCATCTCTATTACCATGCAAAAAAAAAACTGCAGTTCCTCAATTGTCCACTTGAGGCTGGCTCTAAAAGCCAAGGAAGTCCCATTAACACCCATGCAGAAATAAACATGTACACAGCCTGGTGCAAAAAATGTTTTTTCTTTATTTGATGATATGGTTTGTGATATTAGGGAAAGTTTGAATTTGGCATGTTAGGGCCCATGTAGCTTAGTCGATAGTGAGCGCACCCAATGTACAGAGGCTATAATCGTCCAAGCGGGCGGCCCCGGTTTGAATCGACATGTGGCTCCTTTTCCACGTGTCATCCCCTACACGCTCTATCCCTGATTTCTGACTTTAGCCACTGTCCTATCTCTTCAATAAAAGTCGAAAACACTAGAACATGGGCCGTGTTGGTGCCGGGCTTATTGAAATTTTCATTTCTTACTGCAACATTTACTCATTCTTGTGTATTGAAATCGTAGTTGGAATATCAGTTTATCACAATTGTAGTAACACAGATTTTATGTGCTTATGTTTTAAACCCATCACCTTGTAGTAATCTCCACAAAGACAGACGGGCTGACAAATGGCCCACACATGGCTTCATTTACAGAAACGTGTTTCCAGGGTCCTCCTGACGTGTATGTATCCCCTGAGTGTGGCTGTTGACGGCGGCAGAACACACCACTTTATCTTTTTCCACGTCCCACTGTGATCAGTTTAGTCCATCCCCCATTAAAACCGCTCCAAGTCCTTCATCAGATCATGTCAAAGGAGCGGATCTGCCTGTCCAGTGTTGGACGGGGCCCCAGAGACAGATGGGGTCGGTGTCAGTCTTTTTGGAAAGGCTGATTGGAGCCGTTCCCTTCTGTGCTCAGGTGGCCGTTGGGGCCGCGCTTTTTCCGGTGCGCGTGTTCTGAAACGGATACATCCTTTTCAGGGAGTTCTGCAGGGAGGAAGAACGGAGGGGGGGGGGGATGAAAGGCAAAGTTGGACGGAGCAGAAGAAGAATTACCTTTGTCCCAGCGCCACTGCTTGAATCTAATACCAGGATAAGCTAGGCTGAGCCGTCCAAGCTCAGCAGAAAACTGACTGTGTGTGTGTGTGTGTGTGTGTGTGTGTGTGTGTGTGTGTGTGTGTGTGTGTGTGTGTGTGTGTGTGTGTGTGTGTGTGTGTGTGTGTGTGTGTGTGTGTGTGTGTGTGTGTGTGTGTGTGTGTGTGTGTGTGTGTGTGTGTGTGATTTGGCAGTGAGTGAGAGGAAGACAAAGTGATTAAGGGATTCTCTCAGCAGGATGTTATCGGATAGATCCATTTGATGCAGTTTAAATCAGGCTCAAACAGAAAAGTTCAGTTGTTTTAGAATAAATACAAAAGTGAATCTCCTGGAAACACCAACGTCCGGTGGGAAGAACATTTTTGTTTATTCTTCCAGGGGTGATTCAGTGAACACAATGCTGTTGTTTTCAGGAACACCCTGTTCATTATCTCACAAATACACACATTCATTCTTAAAAACTAGAGAACAAACATTAGACCAACCAGCATCTCCACGAGCACAGTAGGGTCCAGCTCAAAGCATTGCAGTGGTTGTCACAAAACTTCTGGCTCTCAAACATGAAATGAGTTTATCATATTTTTTATTGTCACACAAAAAAAACCAAAATCAGACCTATTTGGGTTTTGGAACCAGGATGTCAACATGTTAATTTCTGCTGTAAAAACAGGCTTTTTAGAATGGGTGTGTATGTGACTTCCTGTGCTTCTGCAGCCAGCCTCTAGTGGACACTCAAGGAACTGCAGGATTTTGCATCAGAATCCAAACTTAGCATTGTTGTCAGAGAAGCCAGCACTTTAACATAACATGTTTCCTTAATGTCTGATCATAAAGTAAGGTTACTTACATATTGGACCTTTAAGTAAATCTTAATGACATTCTGCATCCTCACTAAAATATACTTTCACACCTTATTAAATCCATTGGAGTGCGTAGCTCTCTGCTGTGCTGAGCTCTCAAACTCTGTTTTTCTTGTGTCCTCAGTGGTTTAGTCTCCGTGGCTTCTCGGCTCTCTAGGCCATACCTAAATTTAAATAAACATTCCTTCTCTGGGATTTCATGCCCAACCTGGTTTAGATCATGTCAAATATCTTAAACCCTGCAAATCTACATTTCAGACTGAAATGATTTTCCTCCTGAAGCCACGGGCAGTTATCTTTCAAGACCAATTAACCCTCTGACATGTGTTTCCCATATCCATTTCACATTTCCAATTACATTTTGTTATTTCAATGTGTACAGCAACTGTACCTCAGTGCCAAACACAGACTGTGGATGTTTATTTCTGTGTTTATTTCCTGCGTGTGTGAAATTGTAGGACCCGGCTACAATTACAGTTTGAACAACAAGAAGAATGTCAAGCGGACATGGTGGGTATGTCGTGCTATCCAGTTGCCTGATGTCACTCAGGTGCCAAGGTCTGAAACTGAATGGAAAGATCAGGACCAAAATGTCCTGAGCAATTAAACTTTTACCATTTTAGGATCTGTGACTTGCAGTGTGATGATCTTTAAGCTGCACAGTGTTCGATAGCTGTCTCCAAATTTAGCATTTGACAGAATTTTCCAGCCTGTTCTGACCTCTAAAGACAGGACCCACCACAAACTCCTTCAAGAATAATGACGACCAAATCTCTAATATTCTTTAACCAGTAAGATTTATTTAATGAAAGATTGTACCGTTAGGACCTCAGTTGGTGCAAAACGTGACACGCTTCAAAAGCACCTCATGGAGCCAAATTTTTTCCAGGCACGCCTTCATGACCCTGAAAACAGCTCTGCCACCCTCTCTTGGGTCCCGGCCCGACAGTTGAGAACCACTATTCTAAGTAGCCTTACCAAAAAAAGGCTTAACATTCCAACATTTCTAAAGTTATTAAAGGAGCAATATGTAACTCTGACTCCTAGTGTTTAAAATGGGTACTGCAGGTCAAATTCTAAACATTGGAGAGATCTGTCTCCCCCCGCCGCCTCCTCTCTAGAGTTGATGCTCACACAGGTTGTCATGTGGTGGACACTGAAGCTTCAGTGTTTATCCAGCTCTGCATCGGTCTGTAAACCTTTCTAACCTCTCTCCATTTTTCAAAAGCATCTCCAATATTGATCCTAGTTTGAGCACGTTTCTGCTCGTGGAGCTTATTAGAAACATGCAGAGGCTTTTTAGGTCGGGTACAATCACTTCTATCTGAACCAGTTCTCTTGTTCACTTCCATCGCTGCAACACCTGTTGGTTTGACCTGATAACTGCTCTCATATCTGGCAAACCGAGGGGCGTCCAAAACGGCCATGTGGGGGGTGCCTTAAAACCGCCTACCTTCTCTGGTCCAAACAAATCCAGAGCATTCAGGACCAGAATCTAAAGTTAGAAGGAGGCTGGCTGAATTTTTTTGTCTATTAAATTGTTCATGACAGAGAAACAAGCGGGTGCACTCGCACTCTAACTGATTGAAGAAGTGGCTGAAACAAAAACCAGAAGGCTCCTGACCTTTGAGCAGTGCAGTCAATCAGTCATTTGACATCAGATGTATGAGAAGCAGCTTTTCCTTTTTAAATGTAATCACTCAGGATCCTGTAACAAGCAGAACAGAATATTCAACATCAGGATATCTGTGTATCTGTGTCCTGCAGGAGCTGGAGGTCATCCCAGATCTGATGGGGGAAAACGCCAGCTATCTGTTAAAGGAGTGGAACTTTATCCGGGTTTCTGTGAGTCCCAATTTTAAGCAGAACTCCTCTGAGAAATAAAAACACGTCAATGTAAATATTCATGATCACTTCTGGTGAAAAGAGGGTCTAGATTTTCTGAAAGCTTCTAGCATAATTCTTATCTTTGTGTTCATCATGGGAAAATGTTCTCTTATGTAAAAACGTCTTATCTGGTTTTTCATTTCCTTGGTCTCCAGGTCAATTGTTCTTGCCTGTCTGAAGTAGAGGCCTTACTGGGAGATTTGGAGGCAGCGGATCGGGCTCTTCTCCACCCGGTGGTCGTCATTTGGGTGAGTTCACGTGCAGACACAGAAGCCTTCGTTTAAAGGTCACATATGGGGCTAAATGCACTTCACCATGAAAACTAATATGTGTCCCTAGTCTGTCTACAAACCCCCCCAAATGATGAGAAAAGTCCATCCTCTCTGTCTTTTGCGTGCTCCACTTAATCCCAGGATGATTCTGCAGAGGCCTCTAAACGGTTTGTTCTGCAAATCACAAGATGGTTCCCCGATATGAAACCAAGCTGGCAGCCCTGCAGTGTTCTGCCCACCTGGAAGGCTTCCAGGGAGCTGGCCAATCAGAAGAAAGTGGGCGCATGGGGAGGCGGCCTTAAAAGACACAGCTGACGAAACAAAATGTTTCAGCAGAGGCTGAAATGAGGGTCTTTACTGACACCAGTATCAGATTAATGTGGTTCAATTTATTCTTCAATCAATTTTGAAGTTGGTGCCTTCTTGGCCGAGAAAAGGCAGAAAGTGTCTTTTTGGCTCATGTGGATGAAAGACACCAAATCCCACAGGCAGTCAGGCCATATGTCTCGGCTGCTGAGCTGGCAGCGGTGGCCAGCGCCCGGCGGCCAACCAAAACACAAGACCGGCCTTTTGGCAGCAGCCATCTCGCCGCTATATTTACATTTTTTCGTCATTATCAGCTTTCTCTGTAGACCTGTTAGCATAGCATAGCATAGCTAACCGCAACAGCTTCCAGTGACGCAAAAATCGTCATTTTACGTCACAGGAAGCTCCTTTTCAGACTCAGAAATACAAAGATTTCCCATCTCAGGGGAAGATGAGGGCGGCATGCACGACCACTCAAAAATACTACCAGGTTTCTAATGATACAAAGCTTAATGCAAATGGGTGAAGTATCCCTTTAATTACGCTGTAGAAACAGCAGAGGGTTCAGCAGTCAACAGGGGGCGCCAGAATTGTCACAAACCAAACCTTTATCTTTTTGCAAAAACAAAAGTTTAATGTGATTGAACCTCCCCCCTCACGTTTTTAGTCGTACTCGTGTCTCATTGAAATCTGCTCAGAAGTCCGTCAGTGTGTAAAGGGCTCCTGCAGGTCTTTGTGTTCTGAGAGTTAACATGTCTCAGTATCATTTCCCACACTTTGAATGAACTCTTCTTTACACGTTGCTGAATACAGACATCTGGCGCAGGACGGTTTCAGTTTCTCCCAAGTACATGAACTACACCGTGAGCCAAACCTTTTTTCTTTTCTTTGTTTTTTTGACACTACAGTAGTTAAAACGTCACCTGAAGCCCTCCTCAGGTCCCTCGATGAGCTCTGTAGCTGTTTGGAAACCCTACACCTCCCAGGAGAGCGCCGCAGCTCGCTGTTCAAACATCGACGTCCGCCACTTCCAGAGAAACACTGACCTAAACGCTCACAGGGAGAATAAACCTAAACAAACTGGATCAAATCTGCTCCAAGAAACATTTAGATGTTTGTGGAAAAAGCCTGTTTACCCTCTTTCAGTTTGGAATGTTGACCTCTTCAACAACACGGATCGAGTGGCAAAGCAGCGCCAGGTAACGAGAGAGAGATAAACCTGCAGAGGCCGACGAGGCTCGAATCAGTGCAGATGTCACGCTGCATCACTCCGCTGAGGTTTTCAATAAAGCCTGTAGCACACACCCACATGCACACACACGTCCATTCATAAGTGTAAACACACAGTCTGAAGCTGGGCTTTGGTGGGATTGACTCCCTGCCTCACCAAAACAAAACCAGTTTCCCACAGCTCCCACTGTCTCCATCAGATGCTCCACATGTTACAGAGCCTGATGATAATCAAAGTGATCATTTCTACCATTCCAGTTGATTGTTTAATGAATAGTTTACATTTATTTTCTTGGTTGTATCGATCGGGGTGTTTTGCACTCTCCTGTGTCTTTTTGTATGTGTTTTTGTTTTAAACCCTCTGCTGATAATCACATTTTCCTTCGAGGAAAGAAGACATCCTTTATTAATCCCACGAGCAGAATTTACTTTTACGCTCTGTTAAGCCCCGTTTCCACCAAGCGGTCTGGTTTGGTTCAGTACAGTTGGGTCCAGTTCGGTACGGTAAACCCTGATCTTGTTTGCATTTCCACAGCCAAACCGTACCCTTATTTGGTAAGCGGAGTGTAAGCCAGATGGAGATAGCAGCGTCAGCTATGTAATAGTGTGACATCATAGCAGCCCAACACAGTGTAGCCCGCTATTAATTCAGTTAAACGTTCAAGTAGAAGAACGGGGAAACAGTAAACAAAAGGGACCCATTAGTGTCGGATCTGTACCATTGGCACCCCAACAGAAGGGTACCAAAAAAGTAGGATGGGACGGATCCCTTATTTTGGAACCATTCCCAACTTTTGACAGTGGAAACGCCAATAAATGGGTACCGTACCGAACTGGACTGGACTGCTTGTTGGAAATGGGGCTTTAGTGAGCGATGCCACACACACACAGGCTGAAATATACATGCCATGTCTTGCTCAAGGGCACCTCGGCAGTGCTCTGGAAGTGAACTCACACCTCTCCAGCAACGAGACCACGTTCCACACTTGCTCTGCGTCTGTAGGGACTTCAGTTTAGAACCGGTGACCCTCTGGTTCCCAACCCAGGTCCCTACATGCTGAGCTACTGCCGCCCCATATCTAAATATAACTGATCCCACAGAGTCTGCAGGTCCCCTCCTGTCTGAGCAGATTTCATGGTCACATTTAAACGTGTCTGAACTCGGCCACTGAGTTTCACGGTTGTGAGAAACCAGGCTGAGTTCAGCACCAAAGTTATCTGGTTACCCTCCTTTCTATTCTCAGCGAGTTGTGAGATTACACTCACACAGGCTGTTATTTATCACAGGTTGACTCACATGGTAGTGATCAGCGGAGGGGGTAACCGAGTTTGAAGTGTAGGTGGTAGCCTGGAGGGCAGGGAAGCAGACTGAAGGTCACTGTTTGAAACAGTCTGTGAAAATGAGGTGCTATAGCCCTGAGCCATGTATTCAAAGAGGGGAACCCCATGTTGTTGATATTACCACCTTATGTCTCGTGATGTTTAGCACCATAAATCTGTCACTGATGACTGTTTCAGTTGTATTTTTTGGAATAAAATCACCAAAGAAAATGTTCTCTGATTGAGGTTTAAATTATATGTTGTAACTCTGACGCCATTAATCACAATTCCATCGTTATGGGGATTTGAGCAGTCACAATAAACACACTGCTTAAGTCTGAATTGGCTGAAGAGAGACAGGAAACGTTGGGAGGAGAGAGAGTGGGGGACATGCAGCATGACTGCTGTCATGAGGACTATAGCCTCTGTACATGTGCGTCGTGACATCACCACGAGGCTATTGGCGCCCAAACGCCAACGTCCCAAACTTGACATTGACTGCTGATGCTTTAAAACACTGCAAACATTTTTTTGTAATCATGTTTTAGTTGTTGTCTTAAAGACATCTTGAGGTATTTTAAATAGCTATATAGTTGTCTTTAGACCTCTGCAGATTAGACCTGGAATATCGGGGAAAGGTCAACATGAGTGGTTTAAGAGCGCAGCTCAAATACATTTGCATGAGTAGCTTGTTGAAAATTAATGTTTGAATATCAGACTAACCTTCCACGTCCTCGTCCCTTCCCACAGAAACTTAGCGACACCAGGCTAGTAATCACAGTAACTCTCCCTGTTGACTGTTGGAAACAGTCCCTTCAGACTAGTTTTTGAGATTTGTTTACCTGGCAACACATGTTAAAGGTCACATATCCTCCTCCTCTTCAACCAGTGTAAATAAGTCTCAGAGCTCCCAAAACATGTGTGTGAAGTTTCTTGTTCTAAATCCACTCTGATCCTGTATTTGATCATGCCTATAAACCCCTCTATTTCAGCCCTGCTCAGATCAGGCTGTTTCTGTGGCTGTACCTTTAAATATGTAAATGAGCGGTGTCTGACCACGCCCCCTCTCTGGAAGGCCTTGGGTGTCTCGGGCTTTCTCGCTCCATGTCCTATTGTTTACGGTGAGAAGGCAGACTCAGAGGGCAGAACAAACACCTAGCTGTGTGAGTGTCACCCACCTGGGGGAGGGGTTACTGCCCTTTGTGATGTCATGAAGGGAAAATCCCCAAACAGCCTGTTTGAGCACACATTTTCTGAAAAGTGGAGCAGGCAGAAGACGGAGAGGATGGACTTTTCTCATCATTGGGGGGTTTGTAGACAGACTAGAGACACATATTAGTGATAGAGAAACATGGCGAAGTGGATTTTACAAAATATGTGACCTTTAAAACATTTTGGGTGTCTGAAGATAAACAGGTTGGGAGGGGTTGTATTTGTTAAGCTGTTGACCTCTGAGGCCTTTCAAAGCTTTGTATTAAAAAAGAAAGAAAAAAAGATAGTTTGAATTTGAATCTCAGTTATCATATCGTCATAAGTTTCCCTGAGGCATCAGAGTTTCAGCAGGCCGATGTTTAACACCTGCTGATGTGCTGAAGTCATCACTGCCCGACGACAGCAAACGTTTGATGGATATTCAAGTATTAGTGATCGCAGGATCGGAGCAGATGTCTTAACACATTTGAAGTGATTCTCCCGACGTCTCTGACTCCCTGCCACAGGTCTTTAAGGCTGTATGAGAAAATAATTGCTGTGAATAAATCACGAGTGAAGTTTCTGTCAGGGGGACAGTTTTGGAAATTGGCTTAGCTGTGGATGAAGAGGATGACAAACGTAATGTGTCTGAATTATTCTGCTCTAATTGGAGAAAGTGAAAACCGCAGAGGCCCTAAAGACTTACAACTGAATAAGAAAATCATACATCTCCATTATCATCCTACCTCTGTTTACTGTCAGCACAGCAGAAGCTCATGCCTCCCAGATCCTCTTAAAAAAATAGGCCTTTGAGTTTCAACATGTTGGAACGACAGCTTGAACAATGGGCTCTAACTGCTCCAAACAAGAGCATGATTGCTTCTTCTGTTAGAGGATTTTTTCTTGTGTTTTCTGATGTGCCGTCTTTTGTTTTTTAAGGTGCATTTGAGCTGTTCAGGTGAGTCGTCTATCAGCGGGGGAAAAGTGGAGCCTGATGGCCTCATGGAGCTCGCCTCAGCAGCCAAGCTCCATAATATTCTCCTCTACGGCATCCAGCTCCAGCAGTCAAAGGTAAGCTCTGATTGGGTGTATTCACACCAAGAGGAAGCCAGATGATCCAATCACTGCTTCCAATCACACACGCATCAATCACAGCTCATTCTCACATCATGGCGGTCCATTAAAACACACCTACCCTCTCACTGATCTCTGCTACACCAATGCTGGTGCTGGCAAGCAAACCTGAATGTCCATTTAGCAATGAATACATTCATGACAAGTGTTCCAGTCTAAAATAAAGTTTAAGTTTGTACAACATGCAAAGACAGTTCATATGTCCAGGAATTTGCGCTGGACGCCTCAAAACTCCTCGTTGGCATGATCCTGTGTCTTGGTTGCCTCTCAACAGTTGTTCCAAGCTTGAATGAGAAGTGAACTCTTTTCAGAATAAAGCATTGTTTGCTTGTTGTCTTTGGACAGACATATCATAGCATGGATTTTGATTTGTCTTTGCAAATCGGCATAACAAATTTGTCAATTTATCTTCGTTTAAAGGAAGAATGTGCGACTTTTTGATCCAGTAGATGTCGACCTTGAGCACCAGCATGAAACCAAAACAAACTGCTGTTTGGCCACGCCTCCTCCATACTGAAGCCTCCGCTCTCCTCCAGAGACACACCTCCGACCCATCTACACTCGAGTTCCTTTGCTCGGGCTGCAATCACCTGTGTCCTGCATTGTTGTGTTAATATGCCAATGTTAGCGCTCTTTAGTTAGCTCGTAGCTTCACATTACGTTGGCTCTGACAACAACACAGCCAGCGGGACTCGAGCTTCCCACTCATTGTAGACAGTCATGACTCAGAGACACATTTACACAGGATAGACTGGAGTTATGATTTATTTGTGTGAAATGTCGCACATTCGTCCTTGAAAGTCACTCATTGCTAATTGAGTTTGTACAAAATAAGAATACTTTCAGTTCAAATTGCTGTTTGAAGCCGGATTGCAGACAACATATTGCTTGTTCAACTCAGTGGGACCATCTAACAGAGACAGATGAACAGACCCTCTGCAAGAATGGAAAGTTTAACTGATGCAAAATGCTGTTCTTCTCCCTCCGCTGGCTCCCAGTTACTGCTCGCATCAAATTTAAAACTCTGCAGCTCCTCGTTCCCTAAACACTCTCGTCCATCTGAACGGATCACAGGATCGACTGTGAGCCGCTGCGTGAGTGATGCATTGCGTAAATGTGCTTCTCTTTGTTGTTCTGAACACAGCTTTAGTCTTTCCACATCTTTTTTTTCTTGAACTGTCTTCCTTTGTTTCTGTGATGTGAGTGCATATTAAGTAGCGGCCAAAGAAAACAGGACAGGAAATTTCTCCTGAGCATCTCGTTCCAATGTCTTGTCATGCTTTAATGCTCGAAGCAAACGTGGCTGTCTTTTCTCCCACATTTCTGTGTGACTGTGAGTGTGAGTGTGAGTGTGTGTGTGTGTGCGTGCACGCTCTTGGACAGGTGAGCCTTTAGTTTATGTGTGAGCGTGATTGTGACGAGAGGATCAACTTTTCACCTTCCACCATATGTGTGTTTTGCTGCATTGTCTCAACTGAATCCAGAGAGATGAAAGGATGCGAGGCTGCCGATAGGTCTCAGGCACCGTGCAGCTAAACCGGTACACGTGCACAGACCGAACCTCAAGGAGGTCGCCGCGAGGTCCGCCAACTGTGGATGTGGTCAACCTGAAATCTGTTAAGTGACTGCTCGGTTATCGCAGGTTCATATGAGGTGAAATAAGTCACCCGGCACCGTGAGACATGTCAGGATTCAGGCTACCAAAAGCTGTGAAGTCAATTCACATCTTTTGCAGCAGATCTGCAGGGCGAGCCGAAAGCTAAAAGTTGAATATTTGTGGCGTCGTTTGACTTAAATGTGACATCTATCATGATTTATGTTCATGACCGGCAGCAGCACGGAGATAAGTGAACTTTCTTGGCGCCCCACATCTCTCCACAAATCAGTTGTAAAAGCCTCCGAGCCCCCAGACGAGGGGATGTCTGAGCAGGACGGGTTCACTCTCTCCTGCAGAAGAAAATGATGAGCTGCATGAAGAGGTTTTTTCTGTCGTCGGCGATGATTTGACTTCCAGTGTCGGGCCTCTGCGTCACAGTGCCGCCTAATTAAAAGGAGATGCTTTGTGTTCCTGATAGTGAAGCATGAGATTCTCTGCCGGTCCACATGTGAGTTTGATTCTACTATCGGATGTTGGACATCACGGTTTCTCCTCCGAATTATGGAGACTAATGTTGTTAATTAGTCATCCTGCCTCGACTCCTCGGAGACGACTCCTCGGAGGGAGGAAGGGAGTGGACGGAGATAATGCGTGTTTCAGCATGATAAAATGCTTATCGCTATGAGATAGTGGAAGAGCAGAACACTGCCTCGTATAAATCACTGTTAGCTCTCTCTTATAATGAGGATAATTCTTAACAGATGGCCGTATTCATACTTGTCGAGAGGCCTGCCAACACTTCCTCTGTCTCTGTGAATATGCCTCCCAAATTCTCCGATTGCTTTGTTTCTTCTGCTTCAATAAAAAAAGATCTGACGGGCGGCAATAGCGCACACGGACATTTTCAGGCAATCATTGTGATTAGTGAAAGATGCTTTGAGTCCATATTTAGTTTTTTTGTCATCAGTGTTTGTTGTTTTTTAATTAAAACATTAAAAAACTTCCAGATGAAAACCGTGAATGTTTATAATTGGACTTTGATTAAATATCAACTGTGTTTTTTAACATTTTAACACCCGGGAGGAGACTTTTCATGTCCATCACATGTGAAGGTCGACTCTTTTTCCCACAACAAAAACAGTCTGGATCACATTTTCTGTTCTCGGCGGAGTTTTTTTTTTAATCTAAAAATGTGGCTGCCCTCTACATGCCAGCATACTAAAAAGCCCTCCATCGGTCCTGGGGGTCTGCATAGGTTTTTTTTTTTGTCATAGAGACAGGAGGCACAGCCAGCGCTTTTCTGCCTGGTAAAAACACCAGGTGGACACGGGAAATCTCAAAGTCCTTTTGAGAATGAATACAGGTTTGAATTGAATTGAATAAATGATTTAATCCTCCTGTCCTGACATGACGGGCGGTTTTCAGCTGCACACGACTGAGAAGAACATTTTAGCGTCCCTCTCCTCTCTTTGTGTTGAGAAATCATTGGATGCCCCCCTCTTGTACAGCCGTTTGACATATTGAGTTTTAATCTTTCACATTTGAAATCGAGGCCACATGGAGTCGTGTCCGTCCAGCAGAGTTGGAAAATAATTCACCTCATTGAAATTACGTCTTTCCTGGGTAAAAGTTTATTTTTCCCAAACGAGGCCTGACTGCGGTTTCACATTATTTTGAATAACAACCAAACCGTTGATGCATCCAGCCGCACGTCACCATGTGTGCCACTTGGTTTCACGCAGTAGAGAGTGAAAAGGAGTCACGGACAATGAAGTGCGGTCTCTCTGAGAGGACATCTGATCAAAGCACTTCTCTCAAGTCTTTTCCCAGTTTTGTGTTGTCGCCTCTCTGAAGATGCCCACAAGCCAAACATCAGGTGCAATAATATGTGAAAACCTCAAACTGATCTGAAGATGTCGGCTGAGAGGACGCAGACACCGGATCCTCATTAACTGACACGATGTTGTGAAAACGGTGACGGTGTACGCTATCAGTGTCTGCAGCGGCGATAGGAAGTGTCATTGGATCCCTCCTCGCACAGCGTCCTGGCGACTTGTCATCCGCTGAAAAGGGAGTTGTCACGGTGATATATGGGTGTTGTAATCCCCGCAGTGAGAGCCCTGATGTTTACCCAACCCCATATTTCCTCCTCCTCAAAGAGCCCGGACCGGGAATCCTAAACCTGAGAAGAGATTAGCCAGCCGGGAAGAAAAGAGAGGCAGAGAAAAGGAGAAGAGGGAGGGGAGGGGAGGGAGGAAGAAAAGGAGAGGGCTCTATGGAGCCTATTCTCCTCTACCTGCTCAGATCCAGGTCTGAAAAGCAGACAGGTGTAACTGTACACGGCCCAGAGAAGCTCTTGCTGTGACACTCTTGGAGTTGTACCCTCGCCGAGGTCAAGGGAGATCAGGGAAGACTGTCATCTCTGTGGTTTAAGCACACTCCGGACTTTTCTCAGGCTAAATCCAAATAAATCTGCCCAAAAGACGATTGGGTCTTAATGGTGAGTATCAGGTATTATAAGAGGAGACAGGGGCAGGAGAGTTGAGAGGAAAGCCTTGGAAGATCAGCAGATTCATCTTACACTGATTCAAGGCTCCACAATCCAAAACACAAGGGAGCCAGTAATTCAGAGAGCACAATTATCTCCTCTGTGGGGCTGTTCTGTGAGCTAAATGCTAACATCAGTGGGCTAACACACACACACACACACACTGAAAACGGCAATACGCCCATGATATAGAGGCTGCAGAAAAGTTAAGGACTGATCAAAGAGATGAACTTGACCTTAAACTCTGGCAAAGCAAATTGGTTTTGCCAGTAAATTACAAAGATGAGTCGTTCAATACATTTTTGTTTGTATAGCGCCCATTAGCAAATATCAACTTAAGACATTTTACAAAAAGAGCAGATCCAGACCATAGTGTTTGTTATTCAAGTAACTGTAGGGATGAAGTTGTAGGGATGTAACGACACACCGAAATTATGATACAATACGCTTCACGATACTTGGTTCCGGATAGATTTTACCAGAATTTTTCAAGGTTTTATGAATAAATATGATTCTCTTGTTTAAATCCCCTGACCTTAAAAATGCAAATTAACGAAATTTCAATTAGTTTAACGACAAAAAAGGATCGAGTCAGCATTTTCCAACATGGTGGCTGCCATCGTTATCGGCTTCAAAAGTGCACTTCAGAAACTAACGGCTGACGTCACTAAGTCTATGTCCATGTTTCATACAGTAATTTCATTTATATTTTAAGATGGTTTTTGTACTTTTCAATAGAAAAAAGTTAACAGCCTAGCATGATGATTCTACGTTGCATTGGGTAAAAGTAAT